CTTTGTAATAGTAGTTCATTTGTTAATTGCACGTTTATTTTTTTCAGTCTATATTTATGTGTATACTTGTACTATATTTATGTGTGTTTATTATTGTAATTGTTTACTTGTGTGGCATTAAATATTTTTAGTATTATTATTTATTATTAATGGTCAATATGGTATTTATGGCCAAATAATTGACAGTTACGGTTTGCGTTAATTCAGTAGCTAATACAGTAGTTAGTTACTTTTCTTAGAAATTTGTCAGATGACCGCTGTATTAATGTGAACAAATCAATCTATAGTTCATTATGGTACTGGGCTGATAAAAAAATCTGTTTACGTTACATTACATTAGTGCAAATGAAATTGGATGGACTGATTTACTTCAATTATTATAGTAGGGGAGCCTATGAAGCTAAATGGGGATTTACTCAAGCGTCGTGCAGATCTATTAGATTTTGTAGATTAGTTGATAGGAAGAAAAAAATGTAATGTTTTCCCCTTCCAGTGGCGGGGGAAGTGTCTGCAGATTTTCAAAAATGTAAAAACTATTACAAGCTACTACAAATGTTCAAAAATTAGTTCCAGGCGTGTTAAGTGAACCCTAAAAATGTTCTCATTTAAAAGATTGATAATTCGGAAGTGACGCAAGGTCGTCGCGACTTTATTTCCTCTAACTCACACGAGTATCGGTAATGCGTGGTCTTTGACAATCCTCTTACTCCTCGGCCAATGTAAAGATAATAAAAACCACATACAATTTGCAAATTAATATTTTTTTTTCATTAAAATTAATTTTTTTTAAATGTGTTTTTTTTTTTTGGAAAAATAATTATTTCTATACGCTTGGATACTGATTCTGATAACACACTTAACGGGAACCCACAAGGTTTTTGTTACAGGTTGTATATATATATAAAGTTAAAAAATAATGTAGTCGAGTTAAAAAAGTTATGACATTAATAATTGATGGTGATGGTTTGCCTTAACAATCGACATTTGTAATAAACATTTATTACATAATTACGACAAATATACATACATACAAACATACATCATACGTGGTAGAGTCATGCTGCAGTTATATTAGTAGTATAGTTGTAGCACGAATGGGTGAAATAGTATTTTAATGCTGCTGTGTTTCATATGATGAGTGTAGAGAACCAGAGGCTATTTATACTGGAAACGAGGCATTCCACCTCAGTCCTAAGGAGTGACGCATTTGCATTTTAATTCTTAATTGAGGATAGATGTACATGTTTATGGGTCACAGCATCTAATTACCATCATGTAGACTGTGTGCTCATTTATCACCCTTATATATAATAATGTATCAGACGGATTAGCGATTGGCAGGGCCTGATTTACCCACAGGCTACCTAGCCTGAAGCCTCGGGCGCAAGGGGCGCTGAGCTTGCCTTTGCAAGCACAACATAAGTAAAAAATAAAATTTGGTATAATATTCTTAATAAAGAGTAGAGATAGAGTAAGTTCTGCAAGCAGTTTTACTTGTTGATCTTTCATTATATGTACAAAATAAATAAATAGCTTGTAAAATTGAATTATTACTTATTTAATTATACTTATTTAATTATATTATTTTAAATTGAATTGTTGCTGAATTATTTGGTACCTTTCGTCTTTCATTGACTAACTGGACGTGATTCAAAGATTTTAAACTGCTCAAGCTTTTTTTCCGGACCGATACGATTTATAGACATTCAAGAAACGAGCTTACTCCTTTTAAGAATTTCTTGTATTAAATTTCTCTGGTGCTGCAGTTGTTCATGGGCGATGAACACTTACTATCAGGAAAGTTAGATTTTATCATCATCATCATACAGTCCTTCACAGGTCCACCTCTGTACATAGGCCCTGTCCTGAACCACCTACATCTATCGACTTCCTGCGTGTCATACCAGGTCGTCACTCCCTCTAGTGGGGAGGCCGCTCTACATTTCGCCTACCAGTACGAGGCTGCCACTCGAGAACCTTTCTTCACCAGCGGTTGTCGGTTCTCCGAGATATATGGTCAGCCCATAGCCACTTCGGCTTACTAATCCGTTGGGCTATGTCGGTTACTCTGGTTTTACTGCGGATATCCTAAGAATATCACACAGAGAAACACCAACCATAGCTCTCTCCATAGCTCACTGAGCGACCTTGAGGTTCCTCATACGGCCAGCAATGAAGGACCACGTCTCATATCTATAAGCAACTAGCTAGCAACACGCAATGGTTGTACAATCTTGTTTTCAAGTTTTGAGGTATCCCAAACATAAACGCTGCCCAGCCGAGCTGAATCCGTCGATTGACCTCTCGGTTGAAGTTGGACTTACCTAGGTGGACTATTTGTCGCAGGAAAACATACTCGTCCACAACTTCCAGCTTAGTGCTCCCAACAACCTCTGGCGTAAGTGTGACATGGGCTTTACACTTGATCTTTGTTTTGTCCACGTTCACCTTAAGAACTGTGCTATGGTCGAGCTTATGTCCTCCAGCAATTCTGCCATAAGGACTATATTATCATCAAATCGAAGGTGAGTGATGTGCCGGCCAATGATGTTAATAATATATTCTTTTCAGTCCAGCAGCTCGCAAACGTCTTCCAATGCAGCGGTGAAGGGTTTCGGGAATGTAACGTTACTATGTCTTACAACTCTCTGCAGTTGGATAGGTTTCGTACTCTGGTTCTATTTGGTATCGTATCCCCACTGTACAAGCACTTAAGCACTTCGATATACCGACAGAACTTGGCACCGCTGGTGATACTAGACACCCATGAGAAAGAAAATGGCAATAGATTGCTTCAAAGCCAAATATAAATTGGCTCTGTTAAAGACAACTCGCTGCAGAGAATTTGAAACATCCCTATGTTGAGTTTTTACATTTACGGGACTTTTTTGTCAAAAATTAATAAGGATACACACACACGCACGCACGCAAACACACACACACGCACACACACACACGCACGCACGCACGCACACGCATAACAGATCAAAGAAAGGAAAGTTTATTTTATATTTTCTATTTCCCGTGTTGTTTTTGAATCTGTTGTTAGTTCATTTCGTAATGGTTGTTTTATGCATATTTTTTAAATGTTTTTATTTTGTCTTTAATGTTTTTAATCTTTTTTTTTTGTATTTGCGATTTTATCATATTTAATTACTTTTTACGTAGTTTAAAAGTATAAGTCAGGTAAATGGGGAACCTGCTACTTTGGACTCCCGCACAACACCTCAGGGAGGAGGGAGCGGCTGCAAAACAGCTCTGTATGACATCTGTATCTCGTTACAGACAAAGCTGAGCCGTCTCATTTTGGCTCAAATAATTATGTTCTGTGTTAACGTGAATGTAACTGTGTGTTTTAGAGGCAATAAATTTATTTATTTATTCATTTACTACAGCACCACCCAAATTTCAACCCCAAATTAGAACCAAATCCTTTCTCATAGTCTACGCAAGAAAAAGTGGCAGAGATCTTCGGCTTAGTACAATTTGCCAAAGGGTAAATTTGAAAATTTGATTTAATGCGAGCGAAACCGCAGGGTGGCAAGGGAGTTAAATATAAAAATCTAGTAAATATATTTGTGCGCTGGGCAAGCACTGACAGAACAGGCCGGTCGGCGGACGCATATTCATATGTACATAGTTGGCCTAGGGCTGTTGAAACTCTAAATCAGGCACTGGCGAATGGTGCCGTTGAAAAGCTACTTCATGTAGAGTTCGATGACGATTGAGTACTTAAAATAGCATGGCTCGAGTTTCTAGATATATCTCAAGTTGGTGAAAAATTAAGACGCAAAGCAGCAGGTCATATAGCAGAAAATAACGTCAGTAGTATGGTTGTGCTTGTGCCAATTGTACAAAGAACATAACAAAACTATACTTGTTAAGCGTACGCACATGCCGCTCTGGTTTGTGCTTGTGGTAGCACAAGCAGCACCTATTCGGAAATGTTTGTTGTTTATGAATATAAAAAACATCACAGCCAATCGTTGTTATATGTTATTTTATGCAGTGTAACGAGTATTAAAGGATTATCTACATATAATGAGACCGAATAATGACAAAATATTTTACCATGGTCAAAAATCGTCGTCATCTACCACTGGTTTACAAACTGAATTTAAAGGACCTTTGATTGATTTTATTAATAGCAGAAAAGGTTTATCAGTATTCACTATTAATCCTTAAAGTCTTGGAGCTCATACCCACGACCTAGATGATTAAATTGTAAAAAAATTCAAATATCTTAGTTTTACCTGAAACTTGATCTAGACAATGAGAATGACATATCTACTAACTTCAACTGCATCGCAAAATTTAAAAGGTCCAATACTATAGCAGAATGTGTGGGAATATTTCATAATCCTGGTGATATCTTTAATATTTTAACTTCATCTATAGATTTATCTATTACTCGTCCAGAAATTTATGGGTCACTTGTATCGCCGATTGATGACTTGTGTACGGCTCAGTAAAAATGGAAAATAGGGGAAAAAATTTAATTGTTGCGTTGTATATATCTCCTTGTCAATAGTTAAAATAAATAATATTGTTTAAGTGGTGATTTCAAAGTTAATTTTGCATCAGACAAATCTACGAAGCAGTCCACAAAGCTACTAAATTTCGTTGAAAGTAAAACATTTATTTAATATTTTAGCTACTTACTATAAACCAATAATTATGAAATTATGTAATAATGATACCAATGATAATAATAATTATATCAATATTAATCAACTTATACACTAATTATAAGAACAATAATAAAATAAATTGATCATACTATATTTATATTCATCTCTACTCTACAATAAAACAATTTTATTTTTAATACGGATTTTTTTGCGTAAGCCTTATTACCTACTTATTTACAAAATGAAATAAAAGAAGAATTATATTTTGTAAAGAAGTTTCAGTTCGTACGTGTGTACACAATTAGATACACATTTTTTTTAAAAAAGTTATAGCAATTCTCATTCTCAACATTGCTGTTCCTGCTGCAGGTATGTGGGTGAACTTCTTCACAGCTGCAGGTATTCCATCAGATGTGGCGGCGACCTATGCCCTGACATTCACAGAGAATCGTATTCAGAGTGATATGTTGCTAGATCTCAATAAGGAATACCTCAGGGACATGGGTATCACAAGAATGGGTGATGTTATTGCTATTTTGAGGTAAATTTAATGGTTTTTTATATAAGTGAAAGAAAGACGGAGCGCGTACATTGCAAATGGATGCCAAAAACCATGTTCATTTTCTTAATACATATGCACACATCTTTCGTTATCAGCCCGTACTGCTGCACGCAAACACACCTTAAACCATATTAATAGTTTTAAATGAATTGCATCTACATTATGTGTCGTCTGTGAGTGTGAGTGCGTGTTCTACTATAATTTGAGCATGATTTTGGCTTGGTTTATGCATCACTTTAACACTCCGTCTTTCTTTCTTCGTTTATTTGAGTTTGACATACTCACTACTTAATTTCTATTTTTGTATATTATATTATTTTATTTTGCATGATATAAAGAATGTTTTATTTATAAGTTTGTGTGTGGCGTACTGAAATGCGTTCTCACAGGTTGATCTAAATAAATAAATAGAAGATACATACAAGTAATTTTGGCTTTACAATAAACGGTTATTATTGACTTGCTTCTTACAGGCATGCCAAACAAGTTCATGAGAGCACAGCTCGTGACAAAGTGCTAAGTACGGCTACGGCAACATTGACCACCAAAGTGCCTGTTGCAGCTGTCACGGGAAGGGCAACTATCACTCAACCATCTTCACGTAAGTAGATCTACAGTGGCATATAGCAATAGTCGATTAGCAAGCCATTACAGCTTATAAAAGTCAGTAAGTGGTTATCAGGAAGATGTTGCTGACTATCTCCTGTTTTACTTTCCCTCCGTCACCTCTTATGACACCCACGGAACGATATGGGGTGGTAGATATTCTTACATGGCCACTACACGGTTTGTTAAAATAGTTCGTTTTAGTAATTATTGTAATACCCTCAGTATTGTGTGTATCTAGCATTCATAATGTTTTAAGTGTATTTTGCTTTATATTTTCCCCTTAAAAATTATGCAAAGTCTTATGTTTGTTTAATTTATTTGGGAGTTTTGTTCTATTTGGTTTATGTAAGTATATAACTTATTTAATTTTTTAGGGTGACGAAATAGTACACAGTCCACCTGATGGTAAGTGGATGCTGTGGCCCATAGAAATCTACATTTATTCTTGATTAAGAATCAAAATGCAGATGCGTTGTCACCCCGAGGATTAAGATGGAATGCCTTGTTTCCAGTAGAAAGGGTTTTCGGATCTCTACACTCACTATACGAAATACAGCAGTATCAAGCTGCTATTTTAAATGAAGTATTCTGTGAGAGCATGGTCAATTCTCGGTCATACATGCAACAACCATAGTATAGCTGCAGCATGGCGCTACCACGTACTAATGTGAAAATTTAGAAGTATTTGTGTTTATAAACAATTCTATGTGACAAACAGTTTGTCTTTTGTTCAGGAAATCGACAGAATCAGCAGTGCAATGGAATTGTTTGCCTTTGAAAAAACACCTCAGTCCGTCCTAAGCCTAGGGTGCTGTAAAGTACTCGAAATGTCTGTCGAATGTGTAGTGTTCGCTTAAACTCCTTTCCTTCTTATACTTCATCATCAGAACGATATGATCCACTGCTGAATATAGACTTCCCACCTTGTAGAAACCATTTGCCTGATTTGTCACGCTTGGTAAGCGGTTTGATAAGTCACTTGCTTCCATCTACTCCCTGCAGCTCTTACCAGGTCACTCCACTTTGTCCTGCCTTGACACTACGCTTATTCGAATCTGCCACTGCTCAGCACTTCTACCCCATCGGGTCGTCCGCTATAGAATATAATAGAATGTTTCTATAATCAGTATAGATTAAATCCAGTGGGACTTTTTAAAACTAAATTAAACAATCAAACCAGGTTGTACAAACTACTTACAAAACTTATTTAAGAAACAGATTGGAAGCGACCACCTCATTCCCAGGGGTTTGTTATCAACCATGTATACATTAATATTAAAATAACTCTTTTTATACAGTTTTTGTTTAGTAAAATATTTCAACTTGGTAATAAAGAGATCTTGTATGTTTTCTGGGATTTTGTAATAGCGTATACATTACCCCATGCATTAGGTACTGATTCTGTGGAGTTGAGAAACTGCTATACGGCCGGCCAATTGCCACTTCCAATCCACTGATCTGTAAAAATCTTAATATTTACAGCAGCCAGTCGTATTTTGGAGCACTACACACGCAACCCTCAGGTACAAGAAACTTCGCCAACCAATACACTACATACGAAGAGGAAGTCTACTGATAATGTGTTAGTATGCTTATTAATTATTGCAAGCCAGTGCTTGACCACATTCCGATCTGATGGTAGGTGGTGATAAAGCCCTCGATGGTAAATCGCACTGTCTCAGCTTAAAAAAGCCTATTCACACTTTCTTTATTTACGACCTGCGGAAATCATAACTCATTTCAGAAAACTGAAATGAGCTATGATTTCAGTTTTCTACAGAAAGACTTTAAGCCTGTTTTAGAGATTGGTTTTAATCAGATTCGGGTCACGAATAAGCCTCTCGCCTCTCAGTTCACATTTCCGTTAAGTCCAAAGCATATGACAACAATTATTCTTTGTTTTTCGAACGCCACTGATTTGCTATGTGTGTGATAAAAGCACATCAAAACTGTAAAATCGTACTGAAGAAATGTTGCAGACTCTTTAATACTCCATGGCTCTAAAAGTAGGACGAAGCCTGTGAAACATATGTAGCCTTACTCATCTTTATATGATGGTGGTTGATTTTACAGTAACTTCCGGCTTCGTAGAGTATTGTAGCCCATACTTATTGTACAATTACCACTAATGTATATTATTGTAATTGTAATGTATGTATTTAATGAAAAAGATGAAAGACTACGATGTCGTGTATTTTTACTAATAACTTGCGCACACAGCTCAATGCAGCTCTGTTTCGTAAGGCGAGTGTATAAAACCGGGGACCCTTTTTACTGGAAACGGGGCATTCCATTTTAGTCCTCAGGGGTGACAACTCATCTGCATTTTAATTCTTAATCAAGCATATTTGTTGGTTTCTATGGATCCCAGCATCCACTTACCATCAGGTAGACTGTGTGCTCGTCTGTCATCCTTATCCTATAAAAATCAAAAAAGGTCTTTATATCTCTGCAATGTTGTATGGTAGAGATCGCTTCTGGGCAAGAAGGCCACTAATTGTACCTTTCTATAATTTGTTGATTTTTTCCTCTTGTCTGGTTTACAATAAAGCATAGTTCATTCATTAATGAACTCACTAATGTATATTATATTGCTGTATTATTTTGGTTATAAATCGAAGTTATAAATATTGTTGCCAGCGTTGAAAGTGATGCAAGCATCAAGAAGGCCCGTCTGATACGCTTTGCGTCGCCGTCGCCTCAACCGGTGCTTCCCATTAAAGACGGTAAGTTTCATGCCCTACTTTTTTTCGTTCAAAATTTTGAATTTACCGAATACTGCAATGAAATAGTTATACTTCGATAATATAAATTTTTCGAATTTAGTAAAAAATTGCTTATTGTTTTTAATTATCGCTTTTGCGGCTTTCTCTTATAACTATTTTGAGTGCCGTATAACGATCTTGAATCCAGACCAACGATGGGAAGCAACGTCAAAAGAAATATCTGGTACTGCGATCGTTAATATATACTATGTTATCTTGTTATAGTGATTTTCAAATTTTATTGCCAATTCTACAATAAGTGCTAAAACACACTATCACACTTATAACGTAAAATAATCAAAAAGTCACTTTAGTCTTTGCGTAGTGTCAAGGTGTGAATGACAGAACATTAGAACGTTACTTGCGTGCGTTTGCAAGATACGACAATATTTGTGTAAAAATAACACTGCATATTTTTATTAATTTTTTCTGTTCTATTATGACTATTAATTAACTTCAAAAATCTCACCTACTATATTTTTTTTACTGACAAAATTTAAGTTATATTTATTTCATTTGCGTGCGCAGGTACATACTACGTTTAATTTTTTTTAATGACTAGAGATGTGACTAATAATCGGACGTAAAAACTATCAAGCGAATACAATCGTTTGACAAAAATAAAGTAAGATAATTTTATTTTAATATGTATGGTGCAATATTATTGTACTAAATAAGACGGTCCAAAATTGTAGTTGTGTGTTTTGTACTAGTAAGGAAATAAATTAAAATAAAATATGAATCCACTTTTGATCATACAAATCTTCGAATTTGTCTTTATTTTAGTGGTATTAATATTTTATTCTCACCAAGAAATGCAACACTATAGTCCGTTCGCGTTAAGAAAATAGTAAGTCATCGTTGTCCGCCGGCCTGGCCACGCCCCCCAGCCTATTAAAATGCAAGAAATTAGAAAGTCGAGTTCACAGTGACCAGTTGAAGTCAGGCCTTCGAACAAAACGGTTGTGTATTTTACGTGTTACTCGTTCAACATTAAATTTTGAAAATGAATACCTCACCTATTCGAAAGAATAAAAGTGGATCAATAATCCATAGCGGAGAGAGACGCGTAATTTGCAATGTTTATAAGTACTTTAAACTTACTTAATTTTATTTAAAAAAATAATTATTAATGAAAGTTGCCGAAATCGCCCCACAATATAATAAATATTGAATAGATGAGACTGCCAAAAGTAATGGCATTACAATTCTTCGCCTACCGCTTTACCAACATAATTTTTTATTTGGGCCCAATCCAATTGAATTGGTTTGGGCCCAAATAAAAAAATATGTTGGTGCCAATAACTCCACGTTCAAAATAAGTGACATAAAAAATTATTAGATGACGCAATAGCATTAATGGACGCTAATCGTTGGAAGAAGTGCTGCGACCACGTGATACGCGAAGAAAATACCATGTGGAATTTGGATGACATCATGGAACCTGCAGAACAAAATTCTTTCATAATTAATGTAACTGGAGAATCTAGCGACACTGATTAGTGATTTAAGTAATTTTAAGAACATTTGTTTCCATTAAACTTAATTAAATATTTGAAAAAAAAAAGAATTTTTACTCCACTGTGAATACACCTTTACCCTGTAGTTGCACTGATGACTCACTATTTTCTTAAAGAGAACGGACTATAATAGCGGATTTGTGACGTTAAATATCAAAACAAATAGCTTGTGACAAATAACAGCGTCTGCTTTATGACTGGAAGGGCGTCATCTTGTCAAATCATGAAAAAATTTGGTTATAAAATTCCTGAACCGTTCGCTTTTACGGTATAGTGTACATATACTTGGTCTGAAATAGATCGTCTCATTTAAGTAACATACTGTTGCATGAATAAGTCAACTAGCGCCATCTAGTGTCAGGAACGAGAGCGAGGGGAGCATTGAGAAAATGACATCACAAATCGCTCAACTGACAGCGCCTAGTCGAAACTCGAACGCTCGGTACCTTCCGCGTGTTTACTTGAACATTCTGGATATTTCTTTGCTAATTTAAGTATATAGGCGCTGCAAGATGCGATGGAAGTAGTGTTGATTTGGCGAAACAAGCGAAGCTTCGGAGCGGAATAAAAGTGAATAAGTGTGTTTAATTATTAGTGTTTTTAACTTTAATTTGTGTAAAGTAAATTAAAGTGTTAATTTAGGTAATTTTATCGGCAATTTTTATTGTCACGAACCGCAAGCTCGTAACAATTGGTGTCAGATGTGGGATCAAATCATGCCGATTTTACCTAAGGAAGAAACGGAGGGTGTCCGTACCCGCAGTCAACGCCAGCATGAGACGGACCAGCGGAGATTTGGTGGTGCAACGGCGCAGATGTCGGAGGGCCAACTGCCAGCCACGGAGGCTGCGGGCCCGTCATTAGCTCCTACATCTGCAGCACCTGACTTAGGTGCTCTGATGGCGATGCTACAGGAGCAGCTGCAGCGCGGACGAGAGGAACAGGCCCGTCTGTTGAAAGAGCAGCAGGAAGAACAGGCTCGCCGACAGGAGGAACAGGCTCGCCGACAGGAGGAACAGGTCCGTCGGTTGGAAGAGCAGCTGCGGGGTGGACAGGATGAACAGGCCCGTCGGTTGGAAGAGCAGATGCTTCTCATGAAGGACCTTCACGCTACCTTCGGGAAAGAGATAAGGGAGGTGAAGGATAGGGTTGCTCAGCATGACAACCGCCTGTCGGAAGCTGAAACCCAAATCGCGAAAGCTGAAACCCGAATCGACCAAGTGAACAATCGGGTTGACAACGTAATGGCTGACATGAAGAAATCACTGGACGAACTGAAACTTGGAGATGGAGCTACAGCTCCCGTAGTAGCTACAACACCTTCGCTACGTGGGTTCAAGGTGCCACCGTTCGACGGTACCTCTTCCTGGTCGGCCTACAAAATCCAGTTCGAGGCCATCATGGAGGCGAACGGCTGGAATAAAAGCCAAGCCATGACTGCACTCACCCTAGGCCTGCGCGACCAAGCCTTAACTGTGTTGGAAGCTCTCGGTAAGAAAGTGACTTATGAGCAACTCCTTGAGGCATTGGAGGCGAGATATGGCGACGCTCACCTGGAACACGTCTTTCGTGCGCAGCTTAAAGATCGTGTGCAGCGCATCAACGAAAACCTGCAGCAGTGGGCTCTAGAGGTGGAGAAGCTGGTGCGAAAAGCTTACCGGTCTGTACCTGCGCTCATTAAAGGGAACCTGGTGCAGACATTTATCGACGGCATCCGCGACCTTGAAGTCAGAGCTGCTGTGAGACTCGGGCACCACGACACGCTTAAGAACGCCTTGGCCCATGCACTGGAGGTGGAAGCCGTGCGGCAGGATCATCGTTCCCATCGCATCAGGGAGGTTGCAGCAGCTACAGTTCGCGACCGCAACAGAGGATACAGCCCTAGGTGCTATGGCTGTGGGGAAAAGGGCCATCTTCGATCCAGCTGCCCTAAGCGAACCCTAGAAAGGGAAGGTGTACGATCTCAGGAGGGTAGTGCGGCCAACAGCACCGCCCTGCAGCAGCAGGGAAACGAGTAAAAGCCAGAACTGCGGGGCGGGTGCTGGCTGATGTTAAAAGAGCCCCAAGGATCTCGATCTCACAAACCCATGATGGGAACAGTCTAATCATCAAGGGCGAGGTCAACGGAATGCCGTGTAAACTGACCATAGACACTGGAGCCTCTCGTACGGTTGTTAGTTCCCAACTTATAAGCCAGTTCCCTGGGGACTCCGCATAAAACCGAGAACGCATTAATTTGGTAACAGCCACCGGTCAGCGTATACCCGTCCGTGGAGAGAAGGAGATGGAGTTGAAGCTAGGCAACGTGATCTACCTGCATAATGTCATCGTGGCTGATATAATGGACGACTGCATCCTAGGCCTAGACTTTATGAGGAATAATTGTTGTGAGATCGACGTTAAGCAAGGTGTTTTGAAATGTGGACAGGAGGAACTTTTTATGGAAGGTGCGTTACCAGGGAACGTGTACAGCATCAAGAAGATTGTTCTTCCGCCGAGATCGGAAACGATTGTTCCGGTTAGTCTTCCACGAAACGCTGGGCAAGCTCACCGTTGTGTACTTGTGTAAAGGGTAAACAATGACCTTCCATGGAAAGTAGCTCGAACCTTGGTCAGGACCACTGACATCTCAGGAGTACGTGTGCTGAACCTTTGCGACCGGGAACAGGTTATAAAAAAAGGTACACTGGTTGGTACTTGTGAGGAAGTGGATTGGTTACGTCAGTGCCAATATATATCGAGTGGGACCCCCAGCAAGGATTCAGAAACGAGAGTGACCACACTTTTGGAAGACTGTCGCAGTGTTCTGTCCCCGAACGAATTGGTGAAGGCGAAGAAGTTGTTACTCGAGTACGCCGATGTATTCTCATCAAACGATGCTGACATAGGAAAGCGGTAACAAGTATTTCATGGTTGTGATGGATTACTTCACTAAGTGGCCAGAAGTCTTCGCCATTCCAAATCAAGAAGCTTCAACAGTTGCAGATAAACTAGTTCATGAAGTCTTCTGTCGTTTTGGAGTACCTTTAGAGATTCACAGCGATCAAGGAAGGAATTTTGAGTCTCAAATATTCCAGGAAACTTGCCGAGTTATGGGTACTCATAAAACAAGAACGACTTCTTATCACCCGCAATCTGATGGAATGGTGGAACGATTTAATCAGACATTGGAGAGGTACCTAGCAAAAGTTGTAGACAATCGGCAACGAGATTGGGACAAGCACATACAACCGTTTTTGTTGTCATATCGAAGTTCTGTTCACGAAAGTACAGCAGTGACACCAGCTTTCGCAAACTTTGGAAGAGAATTACGGCTGCCTGCAGACCTGATCACCGGGATACCACCCGATGCTCCACGCAGTATAACCGATTATGCAAATGACTTGCGGAAAAAAATGAATGACGTTTATGAGCACGTCAGACAATCGGGCCAGCAAATGTCTGAAAAGATGAAAACCCGGTATGACCGCAAAATGAACAACAAAGGGTTCGACGAAGGTTCACTTGTGTGGTTGCATAATCCAGTCCGCAGCAAACGGAAATCTCCTAAGCTTCAAGCTAAATGGGACGGCCCGTACCGGATTGTAACCAGGATCAACGATGTGACCTACCGGATACAGAAAGGCGCAAGAGGGACTCCTAAGATCGTCCATGTGGATCGCTTGGCGCGTTATTATGGGACCGATAATGCTCGGGACGAGCATGTCTTAGGAGGGGGCAGTGTTGCATGAATAAGTCAACTAGCGCCATCTAGTGTCAGGAACGAGAGCGAGGGGAGCATTGAGAAAATGACATCACAAATCGCTCAACTGACAGCGCCTAGTCGAAACTCGAACGCTCGGTACCTTCCGCGTGTTTACTTGAACATTCTGGATATTTCTTTGCTAATTTAAGTATATAGGCGCTGCAAGATGCGATGGAAGTAGTGTTGATTTGGCGAAACAAGCGAAGCTTCGGAGCGGAATAAAAGTGAATAAGTGTGTTTAATTATTAGTGTTTTTAACTTTAATTTGTGTAAAGTAAATTAAAGTGTTAATTTAGGTAATTTTATCGGCAATTTTTATTGTCACGAACCGCAAGCTCGTAACAATACGATTTGTGTACTACAATAAATGAAAAATAAATAAATAGAAAAGTTGGTGAAATTAATAAAAATAAATTAAATAATTTTATATTTATTCTGCCATTATGTTATTCTTACTCAAAAGTAATATCGGATGCGAGTGACTAACCCCCTCACTTGACTCCCCAAATGAATAATACTATATTTTCAAATTAATACATTGAAACAGAAAGTTTTTTATTCAATGTAGATTATAACAATACTTATTGAAAGTCACTTTTTTTAATTTACCACTGGTTCGCAAAAAAAACCTCTGTCCTGGGAAGAACCAGCAAGAAACCCAGCGGGACTATTTTTTTCCAATAATAGCTTACAATCATGTTTACAATTAACAACACAAGACAAATTAGAAATAGCTTGGTAGCGATCACCCTTCCCAGGGGTTATTATCATCCATAAATTCCTTAATATTATAATAACCCTTTTTATACAAACTTAGTTTAATAACATTTTGGAACTTTGTGTGTATTTTCTGGGATTTTGTTGTAAAAGCGTATACATCGCCCCAAGAATGAATTACTAACTCGGTGGAGTCGAGTAACTGGTACTACTAGCTTGTGTCTGTTCCTAGTATTTACAGAATGAATATCACTTATTTTCGCAAAACTACTTTTATTTTTGTGTACGTACATTACATTTTCATAAATGTATTGAGAGGCCAGAGTTAATATATTGATTTCCTTAAATTTTTGTCTCAGTGACTCTTTTGGTTCTAAATTATATATTGCTCTAATGGCCCTCTTCTGCAAAATTAATATAATTTCAGTGTCAGTCGCGTGTCCCCGTAGCAAAATACCATACGACATAATGCTATGGAAATAACTAAAGTAAATTATTCTAGCTGTTTCAACACTGGTAAGAGTTCTAATTTTTTTACAGCATATGCTGCAGAACTAAGTCTGCTAGCTAGTTTTGATATATGGGGGAGCCATTGAAGCTTTGCGTCCAGTGTGATTCCAAGAAAAATGGTGGTATCAACAAGACTCAGTTCCTCCCCATTTAAAATTACATTAGTATTGACATGTTTAACATTAGGAGTGACGAATTTCATACATTTAGTTTTAGTTCCATTCAAATGCAAATTATTAACATTAAACCAATTGACTAACTTAGCTATAGCATTATTTACTTTACATTGATTAAGCAACTATAATGTCATAATTATCTAGTATTAAACTGTAACTAAAATTTATATGCAATGTAATTTAAAAAGAAATATATGTTCAGGTTTTATTTTTTTTTCCAATAGCTAATCGATATTTTTTGTTTTGCTTTGTGAATCACCATTTGTTAAATCGATTTAACATTGTTCCATCTCTAGATACGTCATACTGTTAGCTTTCATCACCACCATGCTACGACGAAAAGACACAGATAGATTATACGTTTAACCATGAAGGTTAGAGATAAGGAGAACGGCGCTACGTACTAAAGCATTAGCGCGCCTGTCCCTGAACAGACGTCGGTAAGTAGTATCTGCGAAGTTAGATGTTTATAAGTACAAGTAGATGAAGTTGATTGAATAATGTACAAACTTTCTTCGCGGCATTGATAATTTTTCAATTTTTGACAAATAATAATAATAATAGTAATAAATTAATACTAATTTATATTTGTAATAATTTATAACATTAATAATAATTAGACAACTTAACGGTCGCAGCGCCTCACTTATTTTATCCATATTTCTGGGACACTCTTCTACAGCGGTCGTTCTCCTTCTCTCTAATCTCCATGGTTTAACGACGATATTCATTTATGTCATTTTAAAAATGGTATTTTTTGTGTGTTCAAAGTATTAAAAAAAGGAACATCTGAATAAACGGCTAAAATATAAGAACTGCATGCTCGAATGTTAATTATATTACACCTGATAGAATAAGCGAGAGCAATGGTAGCTCAGAAGCTAAATGCTAGTTGTAAATATCACTGTACACGAGCGGTTCTTGTTCGATCCCAGCTGACACTAGTGAAAATGTTAATTGCAAATATAAGTGCTGATTTACCTCGTGCTCGTCTACTTCTCGTGCGTCGTACGAGAGTATACTGAAAAGGAGTATTGTAGAACTCTAATGTGTAAATTTTCGCAAAAATAATATATTTGTATTTGCAGGTACATCAAGTAAGCAAACCGTCTTCGCCCGCTTAGGTAATTCGGAGATTGTCAAAACCGTTCCACAAAAGTCAAACACCAAACAGATATATTCGAGACTGGGCTCGAAGTCTGAAGGTAATGAGGAAGAACCACCCGTTATGCCATTGCAGAAGGACGCTCTAAAGTACGAGGGCATATTGAAAGCCAATCCAGTTACAAAGAGAGTTTTCACTGTTACAACATCTAAGAATAATATAAGAAAGATTGCAGTTGGGACTATGCGGGCTGATGAGACTCCTGTTAGTGTTAAAGAAAAATTAGCTTTACCTAAGCCTAAATCTGTTAAATTCTCTAATCACATAGAATATAAAGAAATAGAATCTGTTAAAAAAGAAATTAACTTCACTAATAGAACTTTTGGACCGAAACTGCCAACTGTCAATATCAGACAAAAGATTTTCGCGCCAAAAATGACACAAGTGTTTAACAAACCAGAGAGAAGATTGTCTATGCCCGAAGGCGGTAACAGTGGTGTTAAGTCTAGGTTAGGTAATAAAAATAGTAATGATCTGACTATAACAAGAAACGTTTTTAATAGATTAGGTGCATAATATTATATGCTGGAATAAATTTTTCAGATGTTTTACTTAAGAATCATTGTTTTTTTATTCGGTGCTTACGTGACAATTTAAATAAAATTACTAAACTAGAGTTTGATTTCTTTTGTCTATTTTTTATAAATAATATTGTTCTCAGGAGTCCTATAACATAGCTTTACAATTTCATATTGAACACCAAACACTGTTGATCGTTAAAAATAGATTGAAAATATTTTAAAAAATTATATTAAATTGTATTTTATTGTTGAAAAACCATCAATCTATAATTATTGAGTGAGTTCATTAATGCATGAACCTTTAAGTTATTAGTTTTTAAAGGCTTAAGTTTTTTTGCGCGGGCATTAATTTTTCTTTTCTAAAATAAAAGTAGCCCAGGTTACTCCCCATAACATAAGCTATCTGCCAGTGAAAGTCCCGTCAACATCAGTCCAGCCGTTTCGGAGATTAGCCGGAACAAACAGACAGACAAACATTTTAGATTTTTTTTTAAATTTTAAGTACCGTATATGCTTTCATATGTATTTAGTGAAAAGCTGTTTTTTGGCATCACAAACATACATATACATTTTAATTATTTGTGTAGATAGGGCTTTTTGCATTATCGTAAAATGTTATTTTATTTTTGATTGACTATGTTAAATGTAATGTAAAATTTTTCCTAACGACTTCTCATGGTTTATGCCAATTTGAAGCCATAAAGGATAGTTAAGCTCGAAGAAGTATTGCTGTGTTGGGTAAAAATGACTTAGAGCAGAAATCACCTTGTTCTTGAACAGATAATAGCTCTTTTTTTTTTTTGCAAAATTTATGGACATAGGTATCTTCTTCTTTTGGGGGATTTACCGTAATTGCACACGCTATATTGTCATCAAACTAATTTAGTTAGTGTAATTGCGTCATAAACATCAGATTAAGTTTATTATAGATTTTTAAAGTTTAACAATATAATTTGAAGTTTTTAAAATATTTTTACATCACAATATTTGGCTAAACCAGTAATATGTGCGATTAGATTGATTGTTATCAATTAATTTTTTTTAACTATTATATGCAAGTACCTGACTACCATCCTACCTGATGGAAAACGGTCATGCAGCAGGAAATGTTGAAACGAATTGACTTAGTTTATTGTTACAGCCTATAGTCCACTGCTGAACATAGGCCGCCCCCATAGATTTCCTCATTGGGGGGATATTTGCCATAGTTGCCACACTTGGTAAGCGGTTTAGCAACTGGAGTTTTTAATTTTTAGCTGTTAGGAAGACACTGCTACCCATCTCCTGATTCGTTTCCCCCTGTCGCCTCTTACGACACCCACGGGATGATGTGGGGTAGTGGATGTGCTTGCACCGCCACTACACGGATTTTCACTTAGCTTAATAAGATCCTATTCACTCTTGCTTTGAAGACAGACGCTGATAAACTATTGCACTCATTTGCTGTACGCATTATAAACGAAAAAGCAAACTATTTGGTACGAATGCGTGGTATGTCGACAACGAACAAATGTCATTATAGTATTGGTGCTTGAATGGCATAGTTGAGGTCGTCTTTGTGACGTAATAATATACAAGTGAACCACAGATTAAAAACATGTAGGAAGCTAGTGACAGAATACATAATAGTACTACGCTAGTGATACACCCTTATAGCTAATGGTACGGATCACAAAAGTCGTAAGTTTGAATTCGGTCGTGAAACGCTCTTAACACAAGTATTTTAAGCTTACTTGAAATTAAAGTAAATTAAAAATATAATTATCTACGCATAATGACCAATAAGAAAGTTAGAACGTTAATGGCAAAGTAAATGGTGCACGATATAATGCTTTTGACAGTTATTACTTTTTAGGACAAAGTTAATTGTAAATTTTAAACTGAGCTAATTATGGTGTATTTGTTTGTTTGTGATAGCTAACCGTTAAGTGTTAACATAGATGGAAGTTCATTTTTGTGTTTTAAGAAGGTATTTATTTAAGTGTTTTAGTTAGATCATACAAATTTTGTAAATATTATTAATATTAATAAATCATGTGTTTTTTTCTTTATTGATACCTTGTTATATTTTTCATCAGCTTTTGGGAGTTCACTACTGTACATAGCCCTCTTTCGTTGGAATGGGAATTTACCTTCGTCGATCGATTTACCGTCACGCTTGGTAGGCGAATTGAGAACGTAGTAATAACATACTCCAGATCGAATTTCGGTCACAAGGACAGTCTCAACGGAGACTATCTGCACTAGACATGTGTCAATTATTCATTTCTCGTGACCGAATCATTCTAGTACATTTCGTCACGCGTACCGGTACATTCGGATCGATCATTCAAATGGATTATTGCGGGCTCCAGTAAGGTACATTAAAAACAATTCATTCAGATCATTCGAGATTCGGTCGGTTTTCGACTCATTTACAATTCACACCAATCACGGCTTAAAAAGGTTCCGTCAATTATTTGTGGTTTGTTGTAAGTACCGGAACATTAAAAACAGATGAATGAACCATCAATACTTTTAAGTGTACCAGCTCAAACGAACGAATCATTCATAATTGACACATGTCTAATCTGCATAGGACAGGGTCATAGGGTCCGAGTGTATGTGCAAGCACAGGCGCACTCTATTCCCTTACTTTAGCAGTCCGATGGGACGGGAATTCAACACGACCGGAAAGAGATCAAGTGCATCACCAAGAGCTTTACGTTTTCTTTTATAGGAGAGGTGGCAAACGAGCTTGCGGCTCACCTGATGGTAAGTGATTACCGCCGCCCATGAACAACTGCAACACCAGGGGAATTGCAGGTGCGTTGCCGGCCTTTTAAAAAGGAGTAGGTTCTTTTCTTGAAGGTCCCTAAGTCGTATCGGAAGTTGTGCGAGGAAGACAACTTCTTTTAAATCGCACAGTGGTGGACCGCCAGTCATCCAGATGATACGGATGGTATCGCGAGTTTGGTCGCGATGTGGGATGATGAACTCGTGCGGCTGGAATTAGTCTGAACAATTCCTCAGAGCACTCCCGTGGTAAATGTGATAAAATACGCAAAGAGATTCAACATCTCTTCGCAGTGCCAGTGAGTCAAGCCGATCGGAAAGAGCTCGGTCGCCGACGATTCGAACCGCTCTGCGCTGGATGAGGTAAAATGGAAGTAGCTGGCACTGGGTAGCCCCAGCCCAGAGATTGGAACAGTATACCAGGTGCGGCCGAACCTGCGCCTTGTAAAGTTGCAAGCGGTATTCCGGCATGAAATACTGCCCCGCTCTCTTGAACACGCCAAGCTTTTTAGAGGCCAACTTGGCCTTCTCTTCCAAGTGACCACGAAACTGCACGTAACTCGATATGTCGATGCCGAGGATTCCGATACTGGCTGAGGCAACAAGAAGTGTGCCTTGAAACTGAGGAGATACGATGAAGGGATTCTTTTTAGCGGTCAACGTGCAAACTTCTGATAGATTAAACTGGACTAGATTCAGTCGCCCGAACTGGACTAGATTCAGTCCGAGACTTTGTTCAACAAAGTCTCGACTTTAGACACAAGTTTGTCCCGGTACTCGGCAACGTTTTTCCGAGAAATATTGGCACGGCCGTTGTATAAAGTATCACCAGGGCTGGCGTCTGTATAGCAATGAATGTTACCGGTTTGCAACATATCATTCATATGCAGTAGAAACAGCGTTGGTGATAGCACGCAGCCTTGTGGAACACCAGCGTTAATGGACTTGTAATCGGAGAATGCACCGTCTACTGTGACGTTGAAGCTCCGATAAGCAAGAAAACTATATGGAGTAGACTATATTTTTACATAATTGGACCCCATATCGTCCCGTGGGTGTGTCTTAAGGCGAAACACATGAAAATCTTCCTGATAAAAAATAATTAAAAAAAACAGGATGCCAGTCCTACCTATGAGGCAATCTATGTATCCTATAATACAGGCTGTAATGGATTGATGGATAGAATACAATTAAAGGCATGGTAGCTCAAGTGTTCATAGTCATAGTACACGGTCAACGGATTCGATGCTCGCCAACACCAATGAAATTGGCATATCTGGCGGTGAAGGAAGACATCTTGAGGAAACCTGCATGTCTGAGAAATAAAATATTTCGAGAAAATGTCCGTTAAAACGCACTAAAGTATAGCGTGACGTTCTTATTGCTAACAAAAAACCCTCTTAGAAACAGTTGCGGATTTACCAGCAGGCTTAGTAGGCTGGAGTCTGGGGCGGCAAATTTCAGGCAATTTTTTTTATATCTTACACAAATTAAATAGATTTAAATTTTAAAAGGATAGCTAAAGAAATATTTACTACCACTATCTCGGGACTCAAAAAACTTTTCGTTCCTTGCTCTACCTACTCTATAAATTAGTGGCAACTGCGGCTGCTGAATGATGCACAGAAGCGTCACTTCTTCATGTTGCTTCAAGAAATTAACAGTTTTTTTAATAAGTTCAACACAACGCTGGAAAAAATAATAACTTAATACAAGAAAGGGAAAACGCTAAAGAGAGTTGATCTGACACGTTTGTCAGTTAAAGAGGACGCATGTGGAAGTTTGAGAGATTCTTGGTACGATGTTTACGATGTACTTAAAACTTTGGAATTAATCAATCAAGGGTGATATTATAATTCCGAAAAGCCTGTAACGCGAAACGAAGCGATAGGAATACTTTTGAATTTAGAAAAACTGAAAATGGCGGTAATGGTTGTTGAAGTGAGTGTTCAAAGGGTTTTTCTTTTGTTTTATTAAGCACAACAAACAGTTGTATAATAAAAATTACAATTCAAACCTTATGTAAAAAAAATTAGATTAGCTAATTACACAACCAACACCGTTATCCACAAAATTACCGTACTAATTAAAGTTATAATGCACAGAGAACACAAAAATAAAATAAAAAAAAACTAGAGGCAACAATGCATACCTAGGCGTTAACAGCAGAATCACGAATATTACACATGTGTTACATAGAAAAAAAAACAATTTAGATTAACGTTATAAGTTTATAAGAAGAAAAAAAAAGATAAAAATAAAAATTACAAGTCACTCAATACAAGTTATATCTATAGCTTTTCTAAATTGAGGTAGGGACGCATTGTAAATAAGTACATCGAAGAAGCTGTTGATAAAGTACAGTTACATTATGCGACTCAAAGACGCACGCTTGCCCGCATTTTTTTTAATTAAGTGCGAGCAGCTATTATGCGGTTATGCGGGTATGCTAGGGAAAAAGAGCAGTATCACTGCGACCTAGAAGATCTATTGTGATCGCTGCTATGGCTAAAGCCGCCAAAGTTCACGGCTAAACCTTATGTCTTCAATGAATAGAAGGAGTTGCTTATTAGTTTCCCAGATGAGCGTTACTTTGCGCATTAAGGGTCCACAATCAGCTAAGATGTGTTTCTTTGAACCGCGTTCCTGATCACGGTATACCATACGCTAGGTTAGGTTAGGTAGGTTAAGGTAGGTAGGTTGGTAGGAATTGTACCAAGGATGATACGTGAGACTATTGAAATTAAAAAACATACTAATTTCAATAGAGAAGGAGGCTGGGTACTACTCCTATAATCAATGTAATCCTATAATTAATAAAATTAAAACTAAACCCAAGCATACCACTGCAAGACCTCAGGACACAGTCAGTTCATTTTGCATAGATCGGACCATAAACAATAATTAAAAAAGCTGAAGGTACTCCGGGTTTAACAATGACACCGGGACGTCAGTCATCTCAGTCCCCCGTGACCATGGGTGCTGGAAAGCGCTCGAAACGTCGGGAATTAAAAAAAATAGTAAAATAAACGCGATAAAATCCGTAAAAATAGTTTTAATCAATAAAAAGACTCCCATTATTTTCTAGAGTTAGAATCATCATAAATTGCGCTGATTCATAACTTTAATTTTTTTTCCATTTAGGCAAAATGTACTATCACAAAACATAATACATATATAGTATTATTTTTCAAAGAGTAGCCAAATTTTAAACTTAAGTTCAAATACTATATAACATGTGAATGGAGTAGAAGCCTATGTCACTGATTTTTTTACCAAAAATTAACACAAAAATTTTGAATTAAATAAATAAATAAATTAAATTTTAAAATCTATCGAAATTCAAATCATATATTATGTTATACACAACAACATAACTTACTTCTCTTATTGTAATCTAGGACCAGGACTATACTATTAATATCTAATTATTAAAATGCGGAATTACAATTACTATTCCGGGGCTATTACGTATCCGGTGGCGGATACACTTGTGACCCGCCGGACCGGATATTAATGGTCCCGGAATAATAATTGTGAATACGCCACTGTTAGAAACGAGATTTTTCTCTATTTACTATACACATAATTGCTGTCTTTCTTTATAATTATTTATGTCCGTCATATTAACTACATGTGCCTAAACCGACTGTTTGGGTCCATTCGATAACATCGAGCTAGCTCATCCCGGCCTTCCTGGCCTTGGCTATCGGAACCGTGAAGGTTCTATTTAATTATTCTATTTTTTTTAATATTAAATTCATTAGAAGATATGGCAAAGCTCGAATAGGGCCCCATACATCTACGTTAGCAAGCCCTTAAAGACTTAGTCCGGCGTCATATGCTGTAAGAAAGATTAGAAGTACTCACCAATGATTTGGTCATTAACAAAGCAGTGGTATTTCCCGAACCAGTGGTAAATAAAAAAGAACTTTTCAAAAAGTATAATGTAATAATCTATATTGAATAAAAATATTTTATTCTATCAATATGAATGAATATGTAACTAAAGGACAGATAAAACCCAAAGAGTATACCTATTGTTATCATTGATCAAAAAAAAACGACAAGGAAAATTGTGTGCCGGAGTGCTTTTTCATTATGACAATGCACTCGCACATCGGTCTAATGTAGCTGGTGATTCTGCTATAGAGGTTAGGTGCCCATTCAATAACCCTGGATCAAGTCTTTTTTTTCTAGGGGAATTGATTAACAGAATTGAAGAACAGATTCAGGCTTTACTTTGTTGAAATTCATTATATTATAGATTTTTTAAGTTTTTTGTTAAGCTCCGCGTGTAAAAATATGTAGGTAATCATTTTTTATACGCGGAATATTTTTTTATATAAGGATGTATTCAATTATTACCTTACATAAAATTTCACTTAATTGCTTTGTCGGTCTGGTCTAGACGCAGATATGCAGGTAATTTCTCTAGTAACAAAAGGAAAACTTTACTTTTGCAATTCCTACAGCCATCGGCATTCTCTATTACGAAAAGCGGAACTTGGGGGTGCCGAACAGTCGTTATAATGAAGCGTCGTTTGTTATGGAATTCCTTCACTCCGGTGAATTAAGAAATTATTGATGTAATCTTTTGTCATACAAAGTAGTTAATATATTTATAAACGAAATGGATTCGAAAGGAATAGAATCAAAAAATAATACTTATATTATTTGTCTTCGCTCTCGAGTGACATAATGCAACGCTGAAGAGTTGGAAAATGACGGGCCATACCGTTCGCGGGCTTTTCCATAAAAGAGCGTTTATAGTGACGCGCTACTGCAGTGCCGCTTCCACCTTGTCGGAACCAACGCCGCTTGCAATGTGGAGAAAGGTAATAATTAAATGTTTATTTTTTATTTAAAAAAGTGTTGTACCAATATAATTTAATTATTTTGTTTGTTTCTATAGTGACATAACGTTTAACAAAAAAAAAATTAAGTTGAGTTGATGAACCGCATTGACATTTTAGTTTTTTCGGTTAAAATAGCCTTAGAACTTACTAACTTACGCATACTTACTTATCATGGCTATATATACATACTTTCAGAGATATTATATTAGTTTACTTGCAATAAATAAAATTGAACCTACTCAAAATTATTGCAATATTATCTCAATATTTCAATAACTAATCATCCACTTCACGCGCTAAGACTAATTTCTTATGTGTATATGAAAAAGATGGACAGTGTTTGACAACTGGTACACTCAAGTCGGCACAAGACTACAACTTCAGAGTTATCAGAAATTATAACTAGGTACGCAAGGAACATTTATTTAAGATTAATATGTGTGCAAATGAATAACGATCAATCACAGAGGTGCTTATTCGTCTTTATGACTTGAAGGCGTCAGAAACACGGGAACAAATAATAATTTGAGCTTATATACAGAGGTTGTCAAGTACTCTGACTATCAGACATGCGGTCGTTATGTTATAAATATTATTGCAATAGCAATACGACTGTCGTATATTTTAACCAAATATTTTAATTAAAATATATTTATATTTTATTCCTGAAATTCCGAAAAATAATGTTTTATGTAAATAATATATTTCAATATTAATAAATATGTGATAATATATTTACAAGTTCGTTTGCCTGAAGTGATGACACGAAATAACGATGGCCGAATACACCAAGAATATATTTTATTTTGCAACATTAATGCCAGGGAGAACTTTAAAGAAATATTAAATAAGAAAATAGAACAACGTCAAAATAACAAAATCAATGCTCAGTACACTTCTACTGATCCCAAGAAAACAACGAATGCCGCGTTTTTATTGAGATCCTTGAGCGTTTTATTGAGATTTTCACCAAAAGAAGCTTTGAAACCATCAACTGTAAGCAGTTATAGTTGTAGGTCACTTCAAGATGCAACGCCTGGTGATTCATCGTACACAATATTAATATTAGATTGCTTTAAGGCGATAAACAAAGCTCGAGAACTAGGTTTTTCTTTTAATTTTTAAGATTTTGATTTATACTAAATTATAGACTTTTGAGTGCTGTAGATATATTTTTACATTTTTAATTTTTTACATTTTCTATGAATATTATCGCTCCAATACATTCCATTCACAGCCGGATTTCCTACGGTGTCAAAATTGTACCGACGGTAGGCTGTTTAAAGGTAAAAAGGAATTAAATATACACATTAAACGATGCCATAGTAAAAATATTTCGGCTTCACAGCCTACCGTAGAAATTCATGATATACCTAATGACACAAATTCTTCACTTTTTTCGAAATAATTATACAATTTGTATAGTAACGTACCAGTGGTTAAAAGAATTCCCAGAGGCGCGAGGATACAACTTGCTAAAGCATTATCATTAACTATTCAAAATTGTCTAACGAATTGTGAAAAAAGTTGGCAAAAATTATTTACATTGGCGTATTCCCACTTTCATTTTAGTAAAACAATAAATAAATCAATTACGTCTCAATTAAAAGAAAATTCTTTTCAAAATTTGAATTACCCGATTAATACTCATTCCTCTCGACCTTATCCTAAATTTGATTTAAAAAAGTAGTTGAGTCAAAAGTAATGGACGGCGACTTAAAAAATGCATCCCGTATTTTATTCTCAGATGAGATCCTCGCTCCTCGTAATGTCGAAACTCTTGAAGGCCTTCGTCAGAATCATCCTTCGGTCAATCCATCCCAGAATTTACCGCTGCCTCCCAATACATCTATGCAACTATTACAAGTTTCCGAAAAAGACACTTTAGACGCAATATTGTCATTTTCAAATGTCTCTGCCGGCGGCATTGACGGGATTTCACCTCAGCATCTCAAAGACCTTGTAAGCGTATCTGCCGGTGATGCCGGTAGGGTACTTCTTAATGACATAACAAAATTATGTAATTTTATGCTTTCTGATAATGTCAATCCCAATTTCATTCCCTACTTATATGGGGCAAGATTGTGTGTCTTCAAAAAAAAAAAGGATAACGGTATCTGTCCTATTGCTGTTGGTTCTACATTTCGACGCTTAACTTCAAAATTAGCTTGCAGGCACATAATCTCAAACCTTAAGACAAAATTTCAACCTACTCAACTAGGCTTTGGCACCAAAGGTGGCTGTGAGGCGGCGGTACATTCGGTGTGTACTTTCTTAACTAATTCCAATGCAGATGTTCTTCTGAAGGTTGATCTTAGAAATGCTTTTAACTCTATTGATAGGATAACCCTGCTGAAAGAAGTGGCTAACAATACCCCCGAAATATATCATTACATTTGGCAATGTTACAGTCAAAATTCAAACTTGTTTTATCAAAACCATATTATTGAGTCTGCTGTCGGTGTTCAGCAGGGTGATCCATTAGGTCCAGCTCTTTTCAGTTTGGGAATTCAACCTATTATTTCAAATTTAAAATCCAAGCTGAATGTCTGGTATCTGGACGACGGTACACTGGGAGGTAAAGCAGATGACGTCCTCAATGATCTTACTCGTATTTTTCAAAATTTTAAAAATATTGGTCTTGAACCAAATACAAATAAATGTGAAATATTTATTTTTAATAATTTATCTAATTCTAACGGATATACCTTAATTCAAAATTTCAATCAGATTTCTCCAGGAATAAAAACTGTTAATTCGTAATCGCTTTACTTGCTTGGTGCTCCGTTGTTTTTCGATAGTATTAAACCTGTTTTAAAAACAAAAATTGATCAATTTTTAAATCACGTTGATAAATTATATATTTTAAACCCCCATATTGCCCTTACCATTTTAAAATATTGTCTCCTTGTACCTAAATTTACATACTTGTTACGCTCTAGTCCAGTCTGGAAATGTTCGGATATTTTAAAAGATATTGATAGTAATCTTAAAATTGCTTTAGAAAACATTCTAAATTTGAGATTAAATACAATAGCCTGGAATCAAGCCACTTTACCTATCAAATTTGGTGGAATTGGTGTAAGAAATATTTCTAGCGTCGCATTGCCTGCTTTCCTTGCTTCCGTGCATAGTGTCAATGACCTATGTAACACAATTTTAAATAATAAAGTAGACCTGTGCTTTGCTGCGGAGGCAAAGCAAACATGGCTAACGCTCTGTCCCGGCGAAAATGTCCCACTGGAAGTTAACCAACAAAAACAGTGGGATATTCCATTGGTACGGAGTGTCCAGAAAAATTTATGCCTTCTAGCTGTTTCGACTAAGGAATCTAGCCACTGGTTACATGCTCTACCATCAAGTAATCTCGGCACATTGCTTGATGGGGAAAGCTTGCGCATCGCCGTAGGAATCCTGCTAGGAGTGGCAATTTGTCAACCTCACCAGTACCCCTGTGGTAGCAGCGTCGATGAGTTTGGGCTCCACGGACTTTCATGCAAGAAAAGTGCAGGTAGGTTTTCCCGTCACGGTTCTTTGAACGAAATCATCCAAAGGGCTCTTGTCTCTATAAATATCCCCTCGGTTTTAGAGCCTTGCGGGATATTTAGAGACGATGGCAAGAGAACCGACGGTATGACTTTGGTCCCTTGGGAGAGAGTGGAGTGGAGAGCCCTAGTGTGGGATGCTACTTGCGTTGACACTTTGGCGGCCTCTCATCTAAATGGTACCTCTTATAGAGCCGGGGCGGCATCAGAGGCAGCCGAATTTAGTAAATAGCGCAAATATGAGTCTTTGAGAAATGACTACATATTTGTGCCATTTGCTGTAGAGACTATCGGTCCGTGGGGTCCACGTGCAGTGAAGTTTCTAAAGGAACTGTATCCACGACTGGTCGTCGCTGCTGGTAATAAGAGGGCTGGTTGTTTCCTCGCTCAAAGGCTAAGTATAGCTATTCAGCGAGGAAACGCAGCCAGCGTTCTTGGCACTATACCACGGGGAGCAAGTCTTTTTTACGATTTAAATTTTTAGTTTTAGATTTTCTATATTATAGTTTCTTCTTTTATTTTGTATATAATTAGTTTTAATCGTAAATATTATAATTTTAATTATTATTTTAGTTAAGTTCTTTATTATAATTTTTGTAATCTAGATCTAAATTAAATTAAAATAATTAAATTTCATTTAATGTATAAAATTCGCGTAAGATATATAAGAAATATAATAAATATAAGAAATCACGACATAAATTTGTTTAGTCATTATGTAAACCAAAATCGCAAGCGAAAATCGAATAATCATTTTTTTCTATAGCAATACACATATAATTTACATTTTAACATAAAATATTTTTGTTTTGTTTAATGGAGAGGTGATTATGATTAAAATATCAATTAAAAAACTAAATTTATTTCTTTTCAGGCGCTACTTCCATTCGTATGCTGTCTAGCATTTAGAGAAGCATTGAGTGATACAAATGAATCAAGGGCCACTTCGGTGATAAAAGGTGAAGCAAGTATCTCCCGTCTGTACCGCAATGTTCCCGTCGGGGTTTATGCCAGTAGTTCACCGTATACAGCGTATACCTTTCACGTTCCGACAGTGATTACAGCACCGAAGAACATGCGCGTTATACCGGTTAATGAAGAAAGTGTCAACCATAATACTTACAACACAAATGGATTCTTTAAGGATTCTTACGGAAATAGATTTGTGAATTCACCACAGACATTAGGAATTAAGGCAAATTTCCCTCAACAATATTTACAGATTCAAAAATTACCAGCGCATCTATCACAGCCGTTAGTATCTCCGCCAACCTATCAGTTTAAGCAAGCCACACCACACTTCTTTGCACACACTCAATTCAGGGGCTCCTCACCGTTTTCAAGATACGCTGTATCACAACCTGTTGTACAGGACGCTAACATTAGAACCTTCTCTGCTTCTCCAGTTTTGCAACCCAACTTTATTTCGCATAACAATTTTAATTTACATCCAGTTGCACAGCAACAATCTACCAGTTATAAACCTATATTTTCGAATACACAAGCTCATGAACAGTATGATAAATTTAAAAACGAACCAAAGTTACAACGTTTACAAGAGAATTTACGGGAAAAAGTGAATATTCAAAACGTACATATTGATCATGGAAACAAAAATTACAACCATCCTCAGCCTTTTCATTTCGAAAAAGAGGTATCGCCAGTAGCTCCAGCAAGAGAAACCAAAATTACAACTTACACTCGTGATGGTGATAAGGCTATAGTAAATTTAGAAACAAAACCTTTGCATCTATTAGATATTAGTTTGCTTGAACCATTGACATTTGATAATCCACTTGTACCTCAAGTTCAGCATTTTTTGCCAAGGATAAATGAAGCTACTTATCACAAATTGCCCGAATATAGCACATATGTAAACAGTGAAAAACGACATAAATCTGAAGAGGAGAAACCAAAAACTAACAATGATGGCAGTGCCAAAAGAATTCCTAAAACAAAGAATAAGTCAACAAAAACGAAACATAATGGTCCGTCAAAACAAAATGAAAATGATAAAAACAGGCTTCCAACGCCATCTATTAAAATTAAGGGGACCCGTTATGTTAGTCCTGAGTACTCATACGAAATAAATTCGCCCAATTACAAAGAGACGTACAAAGAACAAATAGTAAGATACAATAAAGAAACCAATTCAGATCCAGTTCACTATAACTATAACAAGGATGCACAGTCAGAACCCATCCATTACAGCTATAAAACCGAAACACAGTCTGAACCCATACATTATACTTATGAGAAGCAAGTCCAAAAGAAACCAGTGCAATATTATAGTAACGTGCATAATTCAAAACAGCCGCAACAAGAGAAAAAGATTTACTACGAAAATGAAGAACATTGCCCAAAACAAGTTTATACATTTAAAACTGATAATAGCAATGATGAACAGAATAATTATGGTTCATCGCATGAAAATGGAGAATCATCATCTGAAGATACATCGGAAAATGAGGGTTCAGTACAACGACCCTCATTAAAAACCCATGATATTGGACATGAACAATATGCAGATGATCCGCATTCTTCTCGTCATCTTGTACCCGAACACAGAGAAGCCGAAGAAAATCATAAAATAATCCAAAATGGTGCAAAAACAATTAATCATGATTTTCCGAAATTCTTTGCTCATATAATTAACGATCAGGCTAACCGTGATTACTTTAAACCTACACATAAATCCAATGAGCACATACGAGTAGACCCAAATCAACACATTCAACGACTGTATCCAGCGCGCAATCAGAATGCGCAAAAAAATATTTATTCACCAAATCAACATAATCATGAAAAGTCCAAACGTGTTATAATTAGAGATGAAACTCCTGATGGTATCCACTCTCATGATGAAAAGCAATATACAGAAACGGTCGATCAAGAGGAGAACAACGAAGAAAACTTTGAAAAGGCTTACAAGAACGCTGCCTTCGGATTTCCCGCATATGAATCAAATTCAGATGACCTTGAAAAGGATATTTACAATCCCGAAACATATGGCGTCCCTCGTGACAGCTCTAATTTTGAGCACGCTCCTTTTCAACAATATTATGAAGAAGGTGACAAATTTCCAAAATATACTCATTCTAATTATAAAGACGCCAGAGATAAAACTAAAGAAGATTATTATTTAGATTATTCTATTAATAAACCTGAAAGTATGATAGATAGGTACAATAACAGAGTCGGGTATTACAAGATGTATGGTAATCATAGACCTGGAAAATATTTTGGTTTCGACCAAGACGAAGATAAGGAAAGTGAAAAACAAATTGCTAAGTATTCTATTGCTCCTACTTTTTTGTTTAATCATGCACCTGAACAGAAACAAAAACAAGAATTTGCAAAGATCCAAACATCACCATACATTTACGAATATGATTATACGAAAGAAGCTCCTCGTGACAATACAGCATACGGGAGCCAGCCGCATCAAAGATCTAAAACGAAGACTCAGTTTGTTGAACCTCAATTCCAATATGGTTTTGAACCTTCGTCGCTTCCTATTTTACTCGACAGTGAATTAGCGACAATGGCTAGCAACGTCAGCCCTGAAAACGAAAAGCCCGAAACGAGAAAAAAAGTTTACAAGGAAAATTGGTATATCAAAAAGACGAGTACATCAGGAGGGAGCCCAGCTAGCTGATAGGATTATTTATAAAAAACCAAATGTTAATGTAAGCTAATAATAGTTGTAATTGTTGATGAACAAGTCTGTCTTTTATTTTTAAATAAATGAATAACTATAGGTTCGCATGATTAGGAAGTCAGTAAATTTAAAATTGGATAATATTCTTATGCAATAAACTTTCCCCTCAATATATTACGTGACACGATCTATTTCTTGCCTTAATTTCGCTATTCAACTATAAAATGAAATAAAATACAAAATAATTTTGCTCTTCAATGGAGTCAGTCACTGTATTAAAAGAAGCAAAAAAGTTCTGAACCAATTTTATACGCTTCTGCAACTTAGTGGATCAAGTTTTATTTTATTATTAGGAAATAAGTAAACGAAAGAGAAAATTTTGTCGTAATACACTTATGTCATAAAAAGCTAGGAATGTTGAGAAGAATTTTGAATCTATCTATCTATACAATATTTTTTCTTAATGCTCTGCGAATACTACACATTGAATAAAAATATTTTTACGGATGTTATCGTGTTTAATTTTCTTATTTTTTCGGTCACGGAGGGACTGAGATGTTTGACGTTCCGATGTCATAATTGTAGTTAGCCCGGCTAACTCCAGGTTATAAATATTAATTTTTAGTCCGATCTACGCAGAACGAGCTTACAGTATCTTGAAGTCTTACAGTAGTATGATTGGGTTTCCATTTAATTTTGTTAATTATAGTAATATCCATCTTCTTTATTGAAATTGCGGTGTTTTTTTATTATTTACTAGCGATCTTTGGATCTCGACAACAGCGGCACCTAGTAGATCCAAATGTAAAGTGGGTCTAAACAATCTAGGGACCCATTCAAACACACACAAAAAAAATATTTAAAATCGGTCGGGCCGTTTTTGAATTTTAGCGAAATTAACGGACATGAATTGACTTTTATATAAAGAGACTTAATATTTTTTCTTGCTTATCTGTTACACAAAAGTTAAAGTTAAATACTATCCACGCTAACAATACTGTATCGAACAAGCTTGAAATTTTTATTGGACGATCACAAAACTTGCAATTTTTACTTAAAACGCAAAATTTTTATTGTATTGTAGAGGCTGTAATGAACCATATCAACTTTATTAATGCTTATAAAAAGTAAGGCAAAAATCAAGACAGGACAAAAAATGGGTCGTGCTTGTTGTGACACGCGTAATGTTGGATTCTGCTATAAAAATAGTCCTAACTTGTTTCACAAGTTTTCTGTAGTAATCGTTATTGAAAGAAATTTTATAGGTATCATAATTTACGGCTTCTATTGACTGCCTCGTTGGTCTTGTGCTCGTAATGGCAGTTGCTGATCATGAGCTCCCCAGGTTCGAATCACGGGTCGGGCCAAAATCTGTTATTTGGATTTTCTGCCAAGAAATTATCAGCACCAGTCTGGTATCAGGAAATTGGCGGTGTTTCACCGCCGTTCCACGAAAAGCGCATGAAACCGTTGCTTTTGTGCCTGATCTCTCTCTATATCGAATCGTAATCGTATCGAAATCGTCCCTTCGGACTACGAGTGTAGGAGTAGGAATAAACTGCACATGTATTTGCGCATACACTTGGACACTACAATCCTGTCCTGCCGATGGTTAGTGCTCATTGACACTGACCGCCGTGACTATTGTGTCTGGGGGACATTATTATCAATAACGTCTTGCGCAGTAGATAGTCTGTGATAATATTTGAGAGATAATTTTCATCGCTTCATCAGTAAATGTCCAATGTTGGCTGTATGCTCTGCCATTGTAGGAAGAATTGACGATCGCTGTACCAGACGTCTTGCACCTCGACACTGCTCCCCGTTACTGGAATGGGTATGTTACGTCTGGCATAAACAGGATGGTTTGCCGCATTCTATTAAAAAATTCTGACATTTCCCGCATTACCCCGCTATCTCCCCCATAACAGAAGATCGAGAGTGAGACAGTGTAACGGCGTTATTAGAATATCTACGACACCATGTCGTCTTGTCTGTCGTAAGAGGCGACAGAGGGAAACAAAAAATATTGGCAGCATCGTCTTTTTTATAGAATAAGGGTGACAAAGCCCATAGCACACAGCCCATCTGATGGTAAGTGGATGCTGTGGGCCCATATACATCTACATTTACAAAACGCAGATGTGTCGTCGCCCCCGAGGACCAAGGCGGAATACCTCGTTTTCAGTAAAAAGGATCTTCGAATCTCCGCATCCAACATACGAAACACAGCAGTACTAAGCTGCTATTTTACGCTGGTATTCTGTGAGAGCGTGGTCCTTCTGCGGTCGAGCCGACCCATTCGTGCTACTATAATATAGCTGCAGCGTGGCTCTATCACGTATAAAAAGTATTTCTAATAAAAAGTTAAAAAATTGCGGTTGACAAATAGCCTGCTAAGCGTGGCGACTATGACATATGGGATATATGTCATAGTCGCCACTCTTAGCAGGTATATGTGCCTTTAAGGCAGTCTGTTGGTAGGCCTACGTTCATATATGGACTTAGATATTATGCTGCAATAAATTAATGTATAAATAACAACGTTCGAAATAGGACCGTTACCCTTACAGCATATTAAAGTTCACTGCTAAACATAGGCCTCCCCATAGATTGCCTCGTAGGAGGGATATTTGACATAGTTGGCACGCTTAGCAAGCGGGCTGGCGATCACAGTTTTTTATTTTTAGTCGTTATTAGGAATACCCTGCTACCCTTCTTCTGATGTATGTTTTCTGTTGCTTTTTACACCAACGGGCGGGATGATATGGTATTCTTACACCGCCACTGCACGGTCGAATAGAATCTAAGAAAATAATAGACTGTCTAATAAACATCAAAATCTTCTTTATCAGCTCATATTAGTTCACCGCTGGGTAAGCGCCATTTCAATTGTAGGATTTGCGAATTCTTGCTTGGCAGGCAAATTTGTGATCGCAGCATCAGATATCGTGTGTATTTAGATTGCTCTCTGTCTGCTTTCTTACAAACGTACTACAAGGATGAGATATGACCACGAATCGGGGTGGCTGGTGTTACATTATCTTTGGGGTCTTTCTGGTATTTACCTTAGTACCTTTTGACGCGCTCAGAGAGTAAAATGATGTGGTAGTAATTCATTGAATCAGGTGTTACTTTGTTACCTCGCCCATATCCGCTCAATAAAATAAAATCATGTGCCTTTGTTGTTTGAAGAGCAACTCCCACCCTCGCTCAATCGCGTGCACTGACTAGCACGATTACACTAGGAACCATCGACGACGTGTCTCGCCTCTACACGAGGCATCCTCAGGTGAAGTGGGCTCTGCGGTGGCTGTCCGCTATTAGCGGTGACGGGATTAGTGCACGCAATTGAGGGAGGGCGGGAAGTGCTGTTCAAACTAGGTAAGACACATCATTTAATTTTATTAAGCGGATATGGGCGAGGTAATTCTTGCTAACTTTAATATGATGTGATAGTTTCTTTTACCGTCACCACCATATTTGTGTGCGAACCGGAGACCCTCGTACTAGCGATTGCTCCTACGATATCATAATAATTATTCTGAGAGCTTTGGGTTCGGTATTTATAGCGCCACTGCTAATTTGTAAATAAGCAAGGTGGTGTAGACACATCTTCACATGCAAGTGAGGTAGAAGTTTAAAAAAAAGATTTTACATAATGTTCTCCAGACCGAATTGGCCAGTATGAACAAGACGGGAGCACGCGAGCAAGTATGCAAGCAAGCACAATTGTACACTCTATTCCTTCATTCTCATAGTTCGATGGGATGGCTATCAGTCTAGACCGGAAAGAGATTTGACCAGACTCAGGATACGTATCTGCGACCACGCCACTCCACTAACGAGGCAGACAAAGTATTACACACCCAAAAAATATTTTTATAAGATTGATATAAGAAGTCGAAGGGATATAGGTATCATGAATTACGATAATTATTTTGGTTTAAAATGGAAATAAAAAAATAAGAATAGTTATTTTTATTAATAAACTCAATACTGAAAATATCTTAAATAGGTTCATTTAATTTACATGTATTTTATGAACTATATATCTGAGAATCTTAACCTCGCAATAGGCCTTGACTAGTAGACATACAAACTATATTTTATAACATTATATTCTAAAGTACAGGCAATGTTTCGTGCTCCTTATAGTCTAGAGGAATTTATAAATTTATTTCAATTTTATTTTCTACTGTTATAATAAAACGTAACATTAGGATATAAAAATAAATTTAGGGAAAATTTAATTCTACATAACAGTTTTGTATTAGGGAAGCTGCAGCTCCCTTGCTAGTTGATTTTTATTTTTTGCTATCTCTGCTTCCTTTGTTCTGTGTAAATAGTTGCCGGTTTTTTTTTACGAAACAATCTTACAGTCATAATAAAAGTTGAGAAGCCTAAGGTTAAAGCAACGACCGCTAGGATAAGCGCTGCAGTGGATATGTGACCATCTTTAACATCAAAAGGTTCTGCCACTAAGGCGACGGGCCTTAATATCTTTACCACTGGTTCACAACCCGATTCTCTTACATATTTTGCCCAGGTCCTGTTAGCGAAGATCAATTCTCGCGGCCTCACGAATGGTCTTCTTCCTGGCACTGTCCTGTTGGTCGACAGCGTCATATTACGAAGTTGAGTCTCATTGTAGTGACAGTAAAGGTTCCTCTTCTTCTTGTTACCTTTTACAACGATATCTTTCTCAGCGCTCTTGGCGCCCACCAACATATCCAAGTCGCCCTTTATCATGTTCGCCCAATCCCAAATTTCAGCGATTTTGCAATCGCAAACGAAGGGATTGCCAACTACATTCAATGATCGCAATTTGGGGTTGTTTATAAACACTTGCGGGTCTATAGTTGTTAAGTTATTGTTGCTTAGATTTAGTTTTTCCAAATGGTGAAGCAGTTCCAGAAACGAAAGGCTGCCTTCGCCGGATTGAAGCAGATTTCCTGCTAAGTTTAAGTCGGTTATGTTTTCCGTGTTCTTGAATGCATCTCTATTTAAAGACAATATGTTGCAGTTACTAAGATCAAGTATCGTGACTTGGGATAACTGCTTTGGGAAGAGAGGACCCGAGTCTGGAATGACAAGGGGATTTCCACCGAGACGTATTTCTCTTAAGTCCATATACGTCAGATTCTTAAAGAAAGCGTTTGCATTGAGAGGCCTCTTTAACCCACAGAATTCGAGCTCTAAAGTTGTCAATTGTGTTAGATTACCGAATAGACCCGCTTCCAGAGACAACAAATCGTTGCCGGAGAGGACGAGACGTTTCATCGAAGTCATCTTTGAAAAGGTTTGCGGTCCGACGTAAGATAAGTTGCTGTAGCCCATGTTTAGATACTCTAATTTCTCCAGGGGTGCCAATAGTTTTGTAAATACATTTACAAGTGGATTGTGAGATATATCCAATTCTAGAAGATTATCGAACACAATAAAGTTATCGGGAAGATTATGTAGGCCACAGTTGCTTAGGAACAATCTTTCTAGTTTAGGCAGAGGCGCAAGAGCTTCTTGCAAATCTGGTGCAAACAACGGATTGCCTGACAGATACAGGACCTTTAGTCTGGTTGCATTAGCGAACGCCTCTCCTGAAATTGGGCCTTGTATGTGACAATTAGACAGGTCCAGTAATTCCAAGTGGGTAACGCTATTGCCCAATACCGCTGCAACGTCCAGATCATGCAATTCGTTGTCCGCTAAAATAAGCGTGACCAAGTTTGTGCAATTAGTAAAAGTGGCTTCGGACAGTGACGTTAGTCCCGATTTTCTCAAGTTGAGATATTCTAGTCTTATAAGATTACCCAGTATATCGGACCAGTTTGCATTGGTAAAGATATTTCCAGCGAGTTCTAATCTCTTCAGATTGCTTAAAGAAGAAAATGTACCATCTGAAATTGTTGTGAGTTGACAATCGTTTAAGTTTAAGGTATCGAGACTGGTGAGTACATCGAACACTCCAGCGTCTAGCTTACGAAGTGGGTTATTAGAGATATCGACTGTTGTTAACGAAGTCATGTTTTCGAAGAACTGCGCGTTGATAACGGACAGATTGCAAGAGCTGATATCAAGGTACTGAAGTGTGCTTGAAATAAGTAACGGTCCCTCAACACTTGTGATAGGGTTGCCCTGTAGTTCCACGTTAAGAAGTCCATGGGAATCTCTGGAATTAAGAGATAACACTATTTGAAAAATTGCATTTGGTAATAAAAATTACATATTATAATAAAAATTAGCTCAGTAGTGTGACGCAATTAACCTATGTAAGGAGAATTGGGTCAACTACGAAAATGGGTATATTTCGATTTGTATTAATTTCTACCAAATGCAGCGAAATTTTTACTAGAATCAACCGGAGGCATAATGAGTGGTTACGGTGGCATTTAATCATAGTTATGTTGCTAATAAATATATGTCGCTGCGTTGGGTAGAAATAGAACAAATCTGAATATACGCATTTTCGTAGTTTTTCCAATGCACTATACTGGATGACCTTTTTTACTGTCTGGAAAAATTTTTTCTTCAGGAAAACTTTTTTTAGGGTGTAACATGTGAACGGAGTAGAAGCATATGGCACAGATATTTCACAAAAAATAAAAACAAACATTTTGAATTAGTCGTTTAAAAATTGTTTTTTTAACAATTACTTTGCCCTTTGCCCTTGAGCCTGTGAGCCCGCGAAGTGATAAGGTCAAAGATGCCTGCTTTTATTACCGATTGTAAACTAGTGTGGATATGATTCGAATTTCGACTGATTTTAATTAATTTATTCATTTAATTCAAATTTTTGGTTTCATTTTTTGTAAAATATCAGTGCCATAGGCTTCTACTCCGTTCACGAAATCCAGGAATCACACGTGCGAAGCCGAGGCGCATCTCTAGAAGGCTAATAAAAAGTTCAACATTACTTATTTTAGAATGAATATAGTTTTCAGGTACCGTAAGTACTATAGTATAGGAGTAAGAGAATCCATAACTCCAATACCCTAAGTAGCCAAGGGTGACAATTAAGCTACATTATAGTTGTAGGACTGCCTCGTTAGTCTAGTGGTTGTAGTAGTGCGACTGCTGATCATAAGGTCATGGGTTCAATCCCGGGTCGATTAACGAGCATTCCATTGAAATCATTTATATTAATAAATATCAATTGAGGTGCCAGAGATCTAAATACATATAATATTGTTAAAGTGTCGTATGCGGCTGTAGCCTATTGGTTAAGAGAACAGACCGTCAACTTATTCCCTAGTGCGAATACGCTTTTCGACCGTTACATTTTAAAGTTCACATTAAAGTTGGTAAGAATTAATTCGCCCATTTACGCTCAATAAAATAAATTAATGTGTTTTAACTAGTTTGAAGAGTAGATCCCGCCCTACTTCAATTGCGTGCACTAATCCAGTCACCACTAATCCCAGCACCACTACTCCCAACACCACTGCACAGGGAAAGACACACCATCGGCGATAAACGACACGTGTTTCGCCTCTACACGAGGCATCCTAGAGCGGATGTGAGCGAAATAATTCTTACCAACTTTAATATAATGGATTTACGCAAAGTAACGCCTGATTCAATAAATTATCAATTTTTAAGTTCGTTTAAGAGAAAAAGTACAACATAAATACTATTAAGGTTAATAGGAGAGATGATAGAGACGATTGTAAGTTGTTATTTTTTTTAAGTCTCGCTGGGTTTCTTGTTTGCTCTTCCCGGGGCAGAGGTTTTTTTGCGAACCAGTGATAAATTAAATAAAAGAGTAACTTTCAATAGGTATTATTTATAGTTATAGTATAGTCGAAGTGTTTTGAGCCACCCGGGCACGGTAATTTTATCTATACAGTATTCCAACTTCATACAAACATACGAAGCGAGAGCTATGCCTACGCGCCTCGATCTCGGCATGCAGACAGTCGTGACTGTGCCGCAGTGATGATTTTGTGGAATATATAAAAAAAAATGGAGGAAATAAATAATAAAATGGAAATAAAGAAATAATAAATCCGAACTTCATTTAAAACCAAACACATAAATTATAAAATATCTTTTACTTGGTTATAGATACCTCTTTATCCAAGTAAATGATATTACTTTTCTCCACCTTGTCTATGTTTCCCAAAATAATTTATAATTAAGCTTTATATTATAATGCGGATTTTTTATACTTAAAAATTTAATAATAAAGTAATTCGTACGTCTCAGCCGAGGCGCAATTATTTTTCGGTCGCAAATTCATAAGACCGATTTGTTATTCAAACATAAACATGGTTTTTTAATTAAATCTACCAATCAAAAAACGACACGCATTTTTATTAAACACTTCCTATTCAATTTATAAAGTACCAATTATATTTGATTATATAAAAAATGTATATTTACAATCATAAAACTAAATGGAAACACAAAGTAGGCAAATGTAATTAATGCTGGAAGCAGGCAGCCGTATTGCGTGTTTACGTACCGCGAAGCTGTAGGCATTTATTTCAAAGATACGGCCGAGTTACAAAACTGTATAGATAATATTACCGTGACCCGGGTACCAGGTAGAAACCATTGACTTATATATTACTAGCGTGGTAGTAACCAGATAAGCAGTACATTTTGATTCAGATTTTGCCGGGCAAAATAACCCAGCGGCGTTTGAAGGTTAATAACCGTGTGTTCTGTTCTGATCGCTGAAGCTAGTTTTCCTTCACCATAATTATTTGCGTCTCGTTAACTTCATCATAATATTCAGTTGTTTTCATACTCAAAGTTAATTAAGGATTAATTATTATTACATTGTGTAGAAAAATAGTCCGACTAGGTAAGTCCAACTTCGACCGAGAGGTCAATCGACGGATTCAACTCGGCTGGGCAGCGTTCGGGAAATTACGGCATATCTTTTCGTCAGGTATACCTCAATCTCTAAAAACTAGATTGTACAACCAGTGCGTGTTGCCAGTGATGACTTACGGATCTGAAACGTGGTCCTTCACTGCTGGCCGTATGAGGACGCTTAAGGTCGCTCAGCGAGCTATGGAGAGGGCTATGCTCGGAGTTTCTCTGCGTGATAGACTCAGAAATGAGGATATCCGCAGTAAAACCAGAGTGACCGACATAGCCCAACGGATTAGTAAGCTGAAGTGGCAATGGGCCGGCCATATAGCTCGAAGAACCGATAACCGATGGGGAAGAAAGGTTCTCGAGTGGCAGCCTCGTACCGGTAGGCGTAGTGTAGGGCGACCCCCACTAGATGGAGTGACGACCTGGTAAGACATGCAGGAAGTCGATGGATGCAGGTGGCTCAGGACCGTGCTTTGTGGCATTACTTGGGGGAGGCCTATGTTCAGCAGTGGACTTGTGAAGGGCTGTAATGATGATGATGATGATGTGTAGAAAAACTGAAAATATTTTACGTGCTAGAGCCATGCTGCAGCTATATTATTAGTATAGTTGCATGAATGGGTGGGCTCGACCGGGGGAGGACCTCTAATAGAATACGAGTACCGGCGTAAAATAGCAGTTTAACGTTGCTGTGTTTCGTATGGTAAGTGTAGAGAACCGAAGAGCCGAAGACCCTTTGAAATGAGGCAATCAATCTTAGTCCTCACTGGTGACAACGCATCTGCATTTTGATTCGTAATCGAAAAAAGATGTAGATGTTTATGAGCCACTTTTTATGTGGACTGTGCGCTCGTTTGTCACTGTTATCCTATAAAAAATATATCAGTGGTTAATATTGTTTTCTTCTTCGACAATAATAAATAAAAATGAGTAACGCCGGGTCACTATTCGGCACCCAGAAGAAACCTGAAAATTGCGCGGATATGCCGTGTGAGTATCGGAACCAAACCGGGAACATCACTATTTAAAAGCATTGCTAGATTTTATCAATATCTGGATTTATAATGTAATAGTCTACCTAGATTTAAAAAAATAGTAACTAGGCTCTATTGAAGCCTGTCTTCCAAAACTTTTGTTATAGAATATGGGTGACAAACGAGCACACAATCCACCTGATGGTAAGTGGATGCTGTGGTCCATAGACATCTACATTTATCCTCGATTAAGAAACAAAACGCAAATGCGTTGTCACCCCTGAGGACTAAAATGGAATGCTTCGATTTCAGTCAAAAAGGGTCTCCGGATCTCTACACTCACCGTACGAAACACAGCAGCATTAAGCTGTTATTTCGCGCTGGTATTCTATGAGAGCGTGAATGGGTCGGCTCATTCGCCGACCCATTCGTGCTACAACTATAATATAGCTGCAGCGTGCCTCTACCACGTATAACTAGCTAGAAAAGGGTCACAAATAAGATGTAAATCGTGCCTAGCGAATTCAATTTGCGTCTTTTATGCGTCCATTATCTAATATAGGCGCGGGTTGAGGCAATTTACAGCCATTCTGTCTCGCCCGCAAGTTCAGCGGCAATTGAAACAATTTTGTCGTCAGCTATTGTGTTGCCACTATAATCTTGACAAGCAAACAATAGAAAACCTTATACTATCTGATGTAAACTTACTTTATCACGACGTGAGTATTTTATTATCTTTCTGGTGTTTTGTTTCATATAATAGTTTTAAGAACGTTTATAGTCCATCATCATCATCATCATTACAGTCCTCACAAGTCCACTGCTGAACACAAGCCTCCCCCAAGGTATGCCACAAAGCACGGTCCTGAGCCACCTGCATCCATCGACTTCCTGCATGTCGTACCAGGTCGTCACTCCATCTAGTGGGGGGTCGCCCTACACTTCGCCTACCAGTACGAGGCTGCCACTCGAGAACCTTTTTTTACTCGAGAACCTTTTATAGTCCATAAGAAAATATTATTATAAAACTAGTTATCCTTATATAAAGCGCAAGACCGGTCATGCATGGGGTACAGCTGTCACATATGGGCTGTTGCTGCAAAATACCTGGCAGCGTTGGACTCAGTGCAGAGACGTGCTAATAGGCTCATTGGTGACCTTGATTTGGTTGAAACCAACCTTGTCAGCCTCGAGCACAGGCGCAGAGTAGCCAGCCTCTCGGTATTTAGGATGCATTTAGGAGAGTGTGCGCAGGAATTGCATGCTTTAATTCCTTCCACTCCCTTCCACCGTCAGACCATCAGGCGTTCGGCGGGTCTTCACTCCTTTGTTGTCGATATTCCACGCATTAGAACCAAACGGTTTACTTCGTTGTTTTAATGCGTAGAGCAAAGGAGTGGAATAATTTGTCGGCGTCTATTTTTTTTAAAATCATACAAAAATGAATACAATCTGGGCGTCTTCAAGGCAGAAGTGAATAGGCTTTTGTTACGCTAAGACAGTGCGATTTACCATCTAGGGCCGCATCTGCACTTACTACCAGGTGGGATTGTGGTCAAGCTCTGGCTTAAAAAAAGTGATTGGATAAAAAAGTGATTGAATAAAAGTGATTGAATAAAGTGATTGAATAAAAAAGTGATCCGCTCTGGCTTCGCACGGATTATTTCTAAATATCGACAACAGCGCCACCAATCGGATCCAATTGTGAATCTAAATCATTCACAAACGTACACTAAAAATTCAAAAATCTTTTGAGCCATTTTCGAGTTATAGCGAGACAAACTGGCAGCAATTGATTTTTCTAAATTTGTTTTTGTTTGTTATTTTTAATGAGTACTGTCTTGAGCTATCAAATTGCAATTGTTAAATTGACCACTTTGAACTGTAATCGGGCTTCCAAATTTAAATAAATTTTATATTCAAGCACCATTAGGCCCGGATCATAATAGTTTCTTTTTTATAGAAGTGAGGGCAAACGAGCATGCGGCTAACCTGATAGTAAGTGATTACCGCCGCCCATGAACAACCGCAACGCCAGGGGAGTTGCAGGTGCGTTGCCGGCCTTTTTAAAAGGAGTAAGCTCTTTTCTTGAAGTTATAGCCACATAACAGCTGCATTATGACAACAATACGAAGGCCTTCGTACGCATTACCAGCATAGAAGAGATATAGTACTGTTTCGTAGCCGAATGGCGGGAACCGGGAGCCTTTTTACTTAGAACGAGGCATTCGGTCTTAATCCTCAGGGGTGACGACGTATCTGCATTTGATTCTTAACCCCTCAGTCTCAGCTAAAATGTTCGACTCCGCTCGCGCGCTTCGCGTGACGCGGCGTCGCTAAAAATAACCTAACATGGAATTTGTCGTACATTTATTTTCAACAATAAATACTTGTTTTTGTTTATTTATTTTGTTATATTACTTGTTTTAGTGCTTTTCGCTCAGCGTGAATATCACAATTATTTCTATATATTACTCGAAATTATTTACGTATAAAGATAAATTATATTAACACAAAAACTTTTATAATAATTTTATAATAAAACACTATACTAAACACTAATAACACACTAGAAAAATCTAAAAACCAACACAATAACACGCCACACCTAACAGGCGTACGAAATGAACATAGAGATTATAAATAAATACCATGGACTAACTGAGTTTTTTTTGCATCAGTGGATAGAAAATTTCACATGGAGCCTATAATACCAAACTTCCTCACGGTCTCTACACGGAATATTAAATTTAGATTATTATAGGGAAATTTATTTACTGAAATGCAAATTCGGATAAATAAAAACAACTTACAAAAACGCCTCTGGATCGATGTAGGTAATGTTGTTGCCGGACAGATCAATATCTATAAGATATTCGAGTCCCATGAACGCATCCTTTTCCACTCTAGAGATCCTGTTATTAGCTATCTGAAGCCTTCTCATTTTTATATCTGGCGGAAATGGTTTCAGGGTAGTTATATTGTTCCCGTTGAGGTCTAGGACGTAAACACTCCTGCTCAATTCATCGTAGGGTATTTCCGTGAGGTTGCTCTCGGAGCAATCCGTCACCCAGTTGATCCTGAAGTAGTGACACTCGCACTCGTCGGGGCACTCCAGCTCGAAGCTGTCACCGTTAAAAGCCTGAGTCAAGCCCACGACGAGCGAAAAAACAAGGACCGTATAGCGAGCCATATTCGATTGTCTTTCTGGATATTAACAAGGTTTTTCAAAACACCTTTGCACCCATATTAGATGAAACAAACTGAAATAAAAAAAAATTCGATCAACAAAAAATATTCCTTATAAATCCATGGGAGTTTGAGAGGTTCAATTTGGATTTCAGTGCCCGGCATCACGGCAATTGTTTATCGCAATTTTGAATAATCAAATTTCATAAGTAAAGGAAAACATCGTAATTTTTTTTTAACTTTCGTTGATAAATATTTTTTAATGTTTGACATGCTGTTAATAATAACATGTCATTCACTTTTAATCACACCCATTAGCATTCTATATATTCATCATTACAGCCCTCCACAAGTGCACTGCTGAACATAGGCCTCCCCCAAGGAATGCCACAAAGCACGGTCCTGAGCTCCTGAGCCACCTGCGTCCATCTACTGCATGTCTTACCTGGTTGTCACTCCATCTAGTGGAGGGTTCCCATTATCTGGAGTGACGACCTTGATCCCCCCCCCCCTGTTTCCCCATCGGTCGTCGGTTCCTCGAGCTATATGGCCAGCCCATTGGCAACTCAGCTAACTAATCCGTTGGGCTAAGTCGGTCACCTTGGATCTACTACATATATCCTCGTTTCTAAATTTATCACAAAGAGAAACCACGAGCATTGCCATATGGCCAGTGAAGGAACACATTTAAGATCCATACGTCATCACTGGTGACACGCACTGGTTATACAATCTTCCATCCATTACAGCCTTAAAAGCACACCGCTGAACATAGGGTTTAGTTTAGATAGTACTCAACGGAGGGATTTTACCATAGTTGCCACGCTTGGTAAGTGGATTGGCAACCGCAGTTTTTTACTATTTTGATTTGATAACAGGAAAATGCTGCTTATTCCATTTTGGGATTCCCTGTGTAGTCTAATAACAGCCACAGGACGATATGGGTTAGTGGTTATTCTAACCACTACACGGTGGTCAACACACAGAGAACTATGAAAAGTAGGTTTGTTTTACACTTTAATAATAATATTGATTTGATGTCTAGCTAAAAGCACAGAATAAATAATAGTACTACGTACAGAAGTTGCACTCCTTTGATGTCGACTGCTTACCGACGTTTAATAACCTACATAATTATTATTAATCAGATAAATCGCACACGCAAGCTAAATAAAACTTTATCGCTGCGCTCTAGTGTCCATATTACTTTGCATCTTTTTTGTCACGGCGGACTTTCCGTGGTTATTAAGGGATGTCAATAGAAAGTAAAAAAATACTTTGCGAAATGTTAATTATGTTACTTAGGTGAAGTACTAACTGATTATATTATAACTACTACTTATATTCTGACTATGATTGACTAACCATACTTTCGCCCATATGTGAGTTCTGCGATGCCTAACGCATGCAAATTGCAACGTAATTCGTCGGGAATTGTAACGCTTGGGAGAAATAGGTAGATAGTGTAAACAACAAATAAACCTGAAATACGATTTCTAACATAAATGTGATCTGTTCTATTTAGTTAAAAATCTTATTAGTATACAAAGTTTTAATTTCAGTATTTTGTGTTATTATAACTCAAAATATTTTAATTACAAAAGACAAGTATAGGTATGTAAGTAAATACTTGGATAGTGAATTAAATTTTAACTAATTTTTGTAATGAAGTACTTAGGTATTTCTTCTGTAGACCAAATTATTACTTAATTCTTTTTTGCTGTGAGTACCTATCTAACAAAAAATTAAATAAATTCACCTTTCATAACTTCCTTCTAAAATTCTTCGGTAACTTAAAGAATGATATGAAACCTTTTGTTGGTCATTTCATTTAGTATCCATCTAAGCAACAGTTATAGTAGGAACGACGTTTTGCTATTCATCATCATTACAGTCCTTCACAAGTCCACTGATGAACATAGGCCTCCCCCAAGCAATGCCACAAAGCACGGTCCTGAGCCACCTGCATCCATCGACTTCCTGCATGTCTTACCAGGTCGTCACTCCATCTAGTGGGGGGTCGCCCTACACTACGCCTACCGGTACGAGGCTGCCACTCGAGAACCTTTCTTCCCCATCGGTTATGGGTTCTTCGAGCTATATGGCCGGCCCATTGCCACTTCAGCTTACTAATCCGATGGGCTATGTCGGTTACTCTTATTTTACTGCGGATATCCTCATTTCTGAGTCTATCACGCAGAGAAACTCCGAGCATAGCCCTCTCCATAGCTCGCTGAGCGACCTTGAGCGTCCTCATACGGCCAGCAGTGAAGGACCACGTCTCTGATCCGTAAGTCATCACTGGCAACACGCACTGGTTGTACAGTTTAGTTTTCAGAGATTGAGGTATACCTGACGAGAAGATGTGTCGTAATTTCCCGAACGCTGCCCAGCCGAGTTGAATCCGTCGATTGACCTCTCGGTCGAAGTTGGACTTACCTAGTCGGACTATTTGTCCCAGATAAACGTACTCGTCAACAACTTCGAGCATAGTGCTCCCAACAACTACCGGCATAGGTGTGACATGGACATTAAACATGATCTATGTTCTGTCCATGTTCATCTTAAGATCTATCCGTTGGGAGACACCATTGAGGTCATTGAGCATAGTGCTAAGGTTCTCCAGCGATTCTGCCATACGGACTATATCGTCGGCAAATCGAAGGGGCGATGTACTCGCCATTGATGTTAATACCGTATTCTTTCCAGTCCAGTAGCTTGACACCGTCTTCCAACGCAGCGGTGAAGAGTTTCGGGGATATAACGTCACCCTGTCTTACACCTCTCTGCAGTTGGATAGGTTTCGAACTCTGGTTCTGTACTCGGATAGCCATCGTAGCCCTACTGTACAAACACTTCAGCACTTCGATATACCGACAGTCAACTTGACACCGCTGAAGGGACTGTAGCACCGCCCAAATTTCGACGGAATCAAAGGCTTTCTCATAGTCCACATACGCCAGGCAAAGTGGCAGATTGTACTCTTCGGTCTTCTGTACAATCTGCCGCAGGGTATGTATGTGGTCTATGGTACTGAAGCCTTTTCGGAAACCGGCTTGTTCGGGAGGCTGGACGACTTCCAGCCTCCCGAACAAGCCGGTTCGGGAGGCCGGTCGAGTCTGCGTGCGAGACGATTCGTAATGACTCTCGAAAACAGCACGTAGACGCGGCTCAGAAGGGAAATCGGTCTGTAGTTCTTCAAGAGAGCGTTGTCGCCTTTCTTAAAGAACAAGACCACCGCACTTCTGCTCCACGCCTCCGGAGTAGTGCCACCATGGAGGACGGAATTGAAGAGCTTCTGAAGGACTTCAAGTACCGGTGTTCCACCCGCTTTCAGAAGCTCCGCTGTAATTCCATCCTCGCCTGGGGCCCTGCCGTTTTTAAGGTGCTGGAGAGCCATTCTAATCTCGCTCAGACTGACGTCCGGGATATCATCGGAATAGTGTAGGGTAAGACTTGCTCTTGGATCGTTACTCACACTTGCGTGTGGCTCCAACGATGATGTGAACAGCTGCCCATAGAACCTCTCAATCTCACTCAAAATCTCAGGTGTCTCGGAAACGATGCTGCCACACTCAGTCTTCAGCTTTGACAGTTGGATCTTTCTGGCAGACAGATCTCTGGCAAAGACTTTGGAGCCCTGGTTCCGCTCGATCGCTTCTTTAATACGAATAGTATTAAAGTTGCGTAAGTCTCGCCGCATGCATTTGGAGATCTGTCTGTTCAGTTGCCTGTATGCTGTCAAATCTGTTGACGATTGCAGCCTCATCTCCCGTCTAACAGCCATAAGATTAAGAGTGTGATCGGAGAGTTTTTGTGTTCTTCTGCGGCGGGTCTTGCAGAACTTAGCTCCAACCGCATGGACAGTTTCCACGAGCTTGTCATTCATATTGTCCACAGCATTGCAATCTTCTAGGCACTGAAAGCGGTTACGTAACTCGAGCTGAAAAGTCTCTGGATTCTGGGGGGCGGAGCGTTGACTTCATTAGACGAGACCTCTCCAACTGAACGTTAAGGTTCAGTGTGCCTCTAACCATTCGGTGATCGCTGCCGGTTTTCACCCTTGCGATCACTGAGACATCACTGAACAGTTGGCGTCTGATCGTCATAATGAAGTCAATCTCATTTTTTGTCGAACCGTCGGAGCTCGACCAGGTCCACTTCCTGTGGGGCCGCTTCTGGAAGAAAGAGGAAAAGTCTCTGGATTCTGGGGGACGGAGCGTTGACTTCATTAGACGAGACCTCTCCAACTGAACGTTAAGGTTCAGTGTGCCTCTAACCATTCGGTGATCGCTGCCGGTTTTCACCCTTGCGATCACTGAGACATCACTGAACAGTTGGCGTCTGATCGTCATAATGAATTCAATCTCATTTTTTGTCGAACTGTCGGAGCTCGACCAGGTCCACTTCCTGTGGGGCCGCTTCTGGAAGAAAGAGTTCATCATAAAGAGTCCCTCTTTCTCCATAAAGTCAGCCAGCTGCTGGCCCCTACGGTTCCGTTGCCCTACTCCAAATTTCCCTAACTTCAGCTCACCGCCTTCTCTTGTGCCTAGTTTTGCGTTGAAGTCTCCCATCAACACCGTGTAGTGGGTTTTGGAGGAATGCATGGCTCTAGAAATATCCTCATACATTTCCTCCACCTCCACATCGGGATGTGCCGAGGTTGGTGCGTAGACCTGTATGACCTTCAGCGAATACTGTTTGGTGATTCTGATAATCAGGTACGCGACCCTCGTCGACACACTCCCAATCTTTGCAACGTTGTTGACGTGAGACTTGTGGACGATAAATCCGACACCTCCTTGGTCGCCCTTCCGGTGATAGAACAAGTTGCCGGACTCGAGGATTACCGTGTCCTCCCCCTCTCTTCGGACCTCAGATAATCCAATAATATCCCAGCGCAACTTGTCTACCTCTTCTTCCAGCTCCAGTATCTTCTCGTCAGTCCTCAGGGTGCGTGCGTTATACGTTGCCAGGTCGAGTCGTCGTAGGTGGCAACCGAACCTCCACCGGAGATTCTTAGCACCCCCTGCCCCGCCGTTACCATGGTCGCCACCGTAGCCAGGAATAGCGG